TACACTTGGGGAACAAAGGCGCAGCAGAGCGAAAGAGAAAAAGCTAGAAACGGACAGAGAAGCTACCAAAACAACAACAACAACGGGACTTTATGACAGGCCAACGTCGTCGCTAGAAAACTAAGTGGGGAGAATTGGTGGGAAGAGCGGAGATTTGGAGAGAAGAGGAGAGGAGTTATGCATGTAAGCAAAGTACAAAGAGCTCCATCAAGCTTCCCCAGCAATGGCGACAATTTTGTTAGCCCAGAAGAAGAAACATTAGAAGAATCGTAAGCAAAATTAACAAAGGACCTCACATTGAAACATCCTTAAGAGGATTATTAGGACTGAAATTTTGTATTATTTTAAAAGTTAAATTTTTAGTTTATCAAGAACTCTTAGGAGAATCTTTAGAAGACTTGTACTTAAAGGAAAAGAAAGGACCATAAGGATTACATTTTTTTTTTAACTTGATCATGAGAGAATCCTAAAAGAAACCCTAGAAGAATTGTAAACTCCGAAGTATCTCATTCCGCTTGGACTCAGTTTGTTTCAAATACTTTATCCATTAAGTGGATTTTTTGGTCAGGCTTTAGGTACGCTTTTCCCGATATTAAAATCTATATACCAAAAATAAATAAAATCTCTAATACCATATTATAAATATATATATATATATATTTTATAATATTATAATAAATATATTAGAATATAACAATTTTTCAGGCCCTCTCGACTAGCTTTTTCTTCTCCATGTAGAAGGAGGGACGTGACTTGGGAGGTTTCAATTTCTAGAAGCTTTCAAGGAAGACTGTGGGGGAAGCGGCAGAGAAGCGGGACATGTGTTTGGTGCCAACCTGCGATACCTGTTCCGCCGACGAGGGACGGACGGAACACCAGAATCCGGCCACATAACATAGCTAGCAGCGGTTACTCAGTTAGTCAGTCATCAACACAGATACTCACAAACACACTTACAGTCTAGCGCTCTTCTAACGTATCTGCATCTCACTCGAGCTCTCTCGCTCTTTGGGCCGACTCATTCAGTGGCTTTCGGCGTGTGTTTACACGGCACAAATAGCGCTTGAGGAAACCAAAAATAAAAAAAATATAAAAAAAGCACAGAGGCTCTACCCCCATCCCACTCGAACGCACTATTCATAGGCACCAGGTGCGACAGGGACAGAGATCGGGGGAGCGACAGACACTCACGCATGTAGCAATCACAGGCTCTGGTGATTTTTTGGTGGCTCAGCCTCAGCCTCGCTGGATGTCGAGACATCACTGTACATTGCGGGGGCGCCTCAGCAGTCTACTGTGTGTTGATTGTGTTGTGTGTGGGCCACATGTGCCAAGTGTCACGCACACACTACCAAGACAACAAACAACTTGGAAACCCACTTTGAGCCAGAAAGATATTGGGTAACAATTGGCAGCCACAGATCCACTGAGCCATGCCAACGGACACAGTAGTCGCTGAAAAGGGTTGTGTCTATAAATAGACCTCTGATCAAAGGTTATGTAAAATATCAACCTTAAAGACGACCCACAATCTTGTGAATATCATATAAGTATCATTTAGGAGTCATCTTATAAATCCCCAAAGCTACAGGATCGAATTTATTTAAACATTTTTAATATAAAGATGAATATAGAATGTATAGGAAAAAGGATATAATCTGGGTTTGGTCTTAAAAAGTTGCGCAGATACATTTTCCAAACCAAGTATCCTAAGGATACATAATGAAATTTAACCTATCTAACCATCTAACCTATCATATTGGACAACATCACTATAATTGCCCATCCTCACCAGTCTTCATCTACCAGTCTTCAAACGGGTCTTCCTCCGTCTTAAAAAACTAAAAACTCCGTTTTCACTCCCAGCCGAAATTTCAACATCATCATGGTGATCATTGGGAAGAGGCGGAGGAAGCATCATCGTTAATTTGTGAGCCCTGTCACCGATTATATACATAGTATGTACTACCTCCATATAACCTCCGCTCTCCAGCACAAACACACACACACACACACACACACACACACAACACATTGTAGTGTTGTATTGTTGTAACTTTTTTGCTGATAAAATTCGAGCAGGAGAGCAGGCCGACAGCCTCCCCTGGCTCCCTTTTTTTTTGGAGCATGGAGCATGGAGCGTGTAGCTGGGGGCTGAGAGAGAGGAGACGTTGAGCAGCAGATAGAGCGGTCTATACATATTAGACCAGCGACTAACTAGAACGAACGGCAACAACAATGGGAAAGCAACGGCTAAGGCAAAAGGCACTAGGCACCACTAATACCAGCAGCGCAACTCCACTGGAAAATATAATTCCGAAAAGGGAATGATTCCTTTTCTATTATTATTATTTCTATTATATATTTTAATTGGCTAGAATAATGTAATACACCTGTTTATTCTTTTATCTTCAAAAACGGTCTAGTTTTCGTAGTAAGCTAGATATTTTTTTATCTTGAATCTTTAAGCCTGAAACGTTTCATTTTTTTATATCAGCGTTCTATTTCACACACTATGATCGTGATGATATTATTTTAAGATCCTGGAAAATGCATTGAATTCTCTTTGGACGTCCATATTATCCTTTTTCTTAAAGCCCTTAAATTATGTGATTTGTAATTAGGTCACCTCACAGGATTATTGTCCTTTAGAGGTCAATATGAACCCTAAAAATAGAATACCCCAACAAAATATAATTTTTATTCCCATTATTTTACTACAAAATAACCATCTACAACGAAAATGAAAATATATCTGACATGGCTGTTTGCCCAAACGGGAATCCTATTTCTTCCGGTGCACCACCGTGGACCATGGTCCGTACCCCCGCGTAGATTCAGAGTCAGAGTTCCGATCCCAAGCAAAGCTCCACAAAAGCCACTCAAAATGTAGAAAAAAAAATTAAACAGACTGAGAAAAAAAAACACCACCAACAACACGCAATAGGGCAAGGCAAACAACAACAGAGGCAGCAGCGTCGACGCCGACGCCGGCAGAGGCTGAGCCAGCAACAGGAATTTACGATTCAGTGACTACCTCTTATTGTTGTTTTTGTTGTCCGTTCGCCTGACTTTGTGTCTGTGTACATTTGTTGCTATTTCACCTGGGTTGGGGAGCTCCGTGTGCGTGTGTGTGTGTGTGAGAGCCTATTAGGCGAAATGATCGTTTCCGTTCCAGGGCGCTAGAAGGGGTGGTGCGAGGGGATAGTTGTAGTTTCTGTTGTTTTTATTGTTTTTGTTACTGTTGCCGTTACGCCTTCAGTCAGTTAATAATAGACAACAACAACAAAAAACCAACCAAGGTGTGTAGGATAAAATTAAAAAACACACACACAAAACAGCAAAAAGGCACATACATTTAGACAGGGACAGCGAAAAAGAGAGGGAGAGAGAACTGGAGGGAACTTTGCTCAAAGCTCCGCTGCTTAGGATTCTCAATTTCAATCGGACTAAAGCCGAGAGCCGACACTCCACTTGTAGAATTTACAGCCCGCTTACGTAATCCCTCGCCCAAAAAACAACAACAACGTGAGACACCAAAGATTCCTGCACACCAACACACATGAGAATATATGTATTCAATATAGAAAAGTACAGTGGAACATGACCAAATGTCCTGCCATATGGGTTATTCTAGTTTATTAATAAGTAGACTCACCTAAAGATGCTCCACTGTATGTCCCACGGATGGAACACGCCTGCGTCGCTGGATCTCGAGTTTCCACATGCTTTTCCGATTTCAGTGGCCTGGAAAAGCCAGCAAAGCTACAGATGGGGTGTGGTAGGGGCGCGGGGAGTTCCAGCCCAACCCCAAAATGGAGAGCCCAACCCAAAGGTTGCTGTTGCTATTGCTGGTTGTGGTTCCTAGCTTTTTTCCAGCGCGTTTTTCTTTTTAACCCCGTTTCGCTGTCCCTCCATCCACTTGGCTGCGCCCTTCCCCTCCTTCCTTCGGAGCAGCGCAGCACTCATCGCGTGTAAAGGAAATTAAAAATTCAAAAAGTCAAAGGCGCAAGCAAGAGAGCAACAGTCAGCTCTCTCTCTCTCTCGCGTACTGAATTGCTCTCGCTCTCTCGCTTGTGTAGACTTGGGGACTAAGCAAAAAGTCTCCACCAGTCGCAGCCCGTTCCTTTCAAGAGAGGCAACGGATGTAGGATTGTTTTTGGTGTGTGTGTGCGCGCTGGCAGCGCGGTCGGCGCCGCTGCTTTGGAGCTTGGAAGTTGGATCACCGAGGATCACTCAGTGTATTGGTGTCAAGCGAGACGGACGAATTTGCCGACGTGCCCCAAAGAGAGTTTCTTTCGTTTCGTTCGGTTTGTTCGTGCGGATCCCTCTCTCTCTTTCCGCCCCACACGCGCGCCCGCCAGACCGCTCCCGCCCTCGCCTCCGTCTCCCTCTCTCGCGCTGAGTTGTGAAAATTTCCACAAGTTAAAATTAAATGAAGGAAACAACAAAAAAATAAGTGCAAAGGAAGCAGGCGAATACATGTAGCAGACGGCAGAAAAGGTGCCTAGTAATATCGCTTTAACAACTGCGGGCAGTGAATTAGCCACCCTTAAGTGAAAAATGCTAAGAAAAATCTCTTAAATATACGAGAAACGACAACTCACAAAATAAACAAAGTGCTGAGAAAAGAAAACCACACTGACGAATCGATAAAAATTAAAGGATATAGCAGCTGGGGATAAAAGGTGCCTAGTTATTTTTAGTTATACTAAATTCGAACTCGAAACATGGGAAAAAACGAATGTCTGAATATAAAGTTTCCTTTTTAAAATATTTTAAATGGAGAAAAAAATAAGACTGTCGCTTAAATATATTTTATTTAAGTCGCAAGAGCTTAGGCAAATATGCATTATAACTTAAAAATAAATATAAACCTAATATGACTAGTAAAGAATAAATTCAACATTATAATTTAATATATTTAATTTTGTAAGGTTTTTGTATCATAAAAAACAAGCAAACAAAAATATGGAATTATACGGGATCTAGGAGAAAAATGAACCAATCGCAGATAGGCAAGAATACGATAAGGACAAGCAGGCAGAAGGAAAGGGTGTCTGGTAATTTAGGACGCTGTCGAAAAATAATTCCCCCAACTGAGTAAAGTGATCTCCACAGGCAAACGGACCGCCCACCCCTAAAAAACATCCGCTCTTATCAGGCGCGGCCCGTCTTTGTGTTAGTGTGTGTGCCTGTGTGCGTGTGAGTGGTGGTGCGCCGGCAGCGCAGTCGGCTTCCTGCGTCGAGGACTTTGACTTGCTCATTCGTGCGCGAGTCTTTCCAGTCTTTCCCGAGTCTTTCCCGCAACAACAACGGACTCTCCTCTTCGTCAATACTTTCCGCCGCAGTTGCAAATAAAAAAAAACAAGAAACCGGAAACGTTAGGCGGTAAAGGAAACGAAAATTACAACGAAGTGAGCCAGAAAACAATACAATTCCATTTTAAACCGAGCAACATGAAATGAAAAATATACTTATTTGTGCGATCGTGCCAGGCGAAAAAAGCTTTTTGCCGCCGTCGAGCTTTTCTAATAACTGTTTAACGTGCCAGTTTGTGTGTGTGATCGTGATCATGCTCTTTCTCCCGCTCTCTGTCTGCCCCAGTGTATTGAATGGTGTGGCTTCTCAATTGATTTGAACAAGTGCATAAAAACAATAACAATTGCAAACAAAACGAACAGTGCCAAAGCCTAGACAACAAAATAGAAGCGTGGAAAAAACAGAAACAGAGAAGAGCAAGAAAAGTGGAGACTGTGCTGGGCCTTATGTGTGTGTGCCAGGAAGACGGGAATTTCTGGGGAATGCTGAATGATTTTCAATTAAGTGTACAACAAAGCGACCGAGAAAGCGATAAGATAAGCGCGGCGAACGCAAATATTTAGCAAGTGGAGGAAGCGTGGGTTTTCGAAAAGAAGACAAGGATTTTTTGTTGGAATTGCGATCACCGAAAGGTGATAACACAGAAAAACGGAGCAAGAAAAAACGTGCCACGAATTTCATGACTTTCCCCTGCGATTGCCTGAAATCTCGACGTGTCAGTGTGTGTTCGTTACAGTTTCCACGTAAAGTTTTCCATTTGCCTGTTGCCTTCGTCGCTCGCTTTTAATTCCTAATTCCTCCACACCCTTTGGCAAGTTTTCAAGTCACAGACACACACACAGTCGCAGGCACAGTTGTTGCTGTCATCATTATATCGTCCCGTCCCATTTCCACAACGCTCTCTTCCGGCGAACTCTCTCTTTGCCTGCTGCCCTCTCTCTCGCTTGCTCATACCCCAGTGCGTGTGGCTCATTGTTGTTGCCTCTGGCTGCCCATTTGAAACACATTTGAAATTTCCATTTATATTTCCTCATTTACGTTTTCCCTCATCGAGCGGCCTGCATAATGTGCTGCTGCTCGTTTGACCCTTTGGGGTCGTCTCTTAAATTAAATTCTGTGCCCGCGCGCTCAATTGGACGCCGGCAGCGCAGAAGCAGCGTTTCCAGTGGAGAGTCCTTTTTTGGTTGTAGGGGATACAAAAACTCTACACACAGTGGATAATTGATTTTCAGCCGAACGAAAAATCAACTCTACTCCCCCTTATCAGCATTCTTAGGTTTTACAACCTCCAACATGTTTTTCAAAACCAAATCCTGGAACCCTAAAAATACTAATCTTTGTAATTCCTTCCATTACAGCACGCCCTGGAATATATGTTTTAACGGATGCCCCCCGCTCAGAAAAGTCTCACAGGGTATCCAGGAATATCCCAGAGCAAAAGGACAATCACAGGACCTTAAATGACCCCCTGGCCACGAATGAGGACATAGATCGAGATCGTTGCCTCTCACTCACTCACTCCGCTTTGCTCCTCTGCTAAGTGACGCAAACACGACGGCTTCCCAATGAAGATGGCATCTCAACGCTTCTGCCTGCGGTGGAACAACCATCAGAGCAACCTGCTGTCAGTCTTTGACCAGCTGCTCCACGCAGAAACCTTCACAGATGTGACGCTGGCCGTCGAAGGGCAATACCTGAAGGCACACAAGGTGGGTGTTGTCTAGAGCTATGATTGAATATTAGGAAGTGGCAAAAAAATCTTGTTAATTAAACTAAACCTAAACATTGATTAATCTAATAAACTTTCTTCTTCCTCCTCAGATGGTGCTATCCGCCTGCAGTCCGTACTTCAATGCCCTATTCATAAATCATCCGGAAAAGCATCCGATCGTTATTCTTAAGGATGTGCCGTATTCGGACATGAAATCCCTGCTGGACTTTATGTACAGAGGCGAGGTCTCTGTGGACCAGGAGCGACTTACCGCATTCCTGCGCGTGGCCGAGAGCCTGCGCATCAAGGGCCTCACCGAGGTCAACGACGACAAACCCTCGCCGGCCACAACTGGAGCTGCAGCGGGAACAGTTGCAGCAGGCTCCGAGAGTACGCCCACACCCCCGCAGCTGCAGCGCATTCAGCCTTATTTGGTGCCACAGCGGAATCGTACACAGGCCAGCGGTCTGCTGTCCAGTGCCGCACTCGCCAATGCTGGAAATACGCCCACCCTGCCGGTGCAGCCATCGCTGCTTAGCTCAGCCCTGATGCCCAAGCGAAAAAGAGGGAGGCCCCGCAAACTATCGGGCAGCTCAAACGGCACGGGGAATGACTACGACGATTTCGAGCGCGAGAACCTGATGAATGACTCCGATCTGGGCAATGGCAAACTGGGCAACGATTCCTACTCCGGCAATGATGATGGCTCCGATGATAATCAGCAAGATGCAGGCAATCCAGATGATCTTAATGTGAGTTTAAGAGTAGATAAAGCTAGGATTTATCTTAAAAAGATAGTTATTGTTGCTGAATTTCCTATGAATATGTGAGCTTCATTAACTTGTATGTATTTTCTTCTCCTCACAGGAAAGCCGCGACTCTCTGCCCACGAAACGATCAAAGAACGCCAAGGATCACCGCGTTGTGAGCCACCACCACCAAGAGGACAACAGCACAACTTCCGGTGAGTTCAAACACTGCCAATCCATTCTTTCAATAAGAACCATTGCATAGTTTTAAGATCATTTGAATTATAACCATATAAAAGTCCAACAAATGCACCATCAACCAATATCTCAATACCTCTCATGTGCACCCAGCAAAAAATAGAATTACCAACTCAATTCAATACAGAGCCAGGCTGAATGAAGTCTCATTATATATATATATATAGTATATATAACTACATTTGTTCGACAAATATCATCTGCGAATATCGGAAAAGCTAAAAGGGATTTTACGCATTTCAATTAGTTGTAGAATCTGAAAACTGAAAAGCTAAAGCTCGCGTCGGTTTCTCGCTACTCTCTCTCTCGCCCCTCCTCCTTCTCCTCCCACAAAAAAGTGAAAAGAAAATATGAGAAAAGTGAGAAAATAATACGAAAAACAAAGTGAAGTGTTCTCGTTCGAAGGCATCTCTTCCGTCCGTCGGCAGGTGAGTGTCCCCAAAGATGATGATGTTGAAGATGCCCAAGAAATGCAAATCCACAAGATGACGAAGAGAATTAAAGAATTGTGAAGTTGAGAATCGGGTTGAGCACACAGGGATTCATGGCCGACGGGATTATGAAAATATAACTAAGATCAAAAATTTTCCAAATTCCAAACCCAAAAATATATCGCGAAAAATTCCTGAAAAATTAAAAAGCGTCACCTCTGCTCTCTCTCTGTCTCATAAAAATGACCATCACCACCAAAAATGAAATGCTGATCTCTGTTGTCCATTTCCGTACCATCTCCTCCTCAAAACAAACATGAAACAAGAACCGAAACAACATGTATGAAAAACTGATCAACTGAAGAAGGAGCAAAGCAAAAATACAGAAAACTGAACTGAAAAACTTTTCGAACAAAAACTCTTGCAACGCGTTGAAAATGGCTTGAAATCCCTATAGCTTTTCCGATCCGATTTGAAACTCTTTCACTCTCTCTCTCACTCGCTCTCTCGCGTCATGTGTTTTGCCTTTCTCTTGCATATGTACATACATCCTGCACACACACACACACAACACCCATTTATACACACATATATCACCTTTTATCACGTGTACTAAGTTTATACGCCTGCAGATTACAATAAATAAATAATAATAGTTACAAATTTATAATTTTTAAATTAGTCAAGGTCAGGCCCCTTTTGCCTTATTAAATTATCAATATGCTATTTTTAATAATATATTATTTATATATTTATTATTTATTTATCACGTGCTTTGAAACACTTTTAAATGTGTCGAAAAGTAGGCTACAAATGATTACCTTTTGAAAAAATTAATACATTTTTTAGAATATCAAAATAATCAAGATTTAATATATATTTATTATTTAAATCACGTGATGTAAAATCCCCTTTAAAAGGTGTCCAAAAGTATTAAAATGTTAGCAAATTACTGAAGAACAATAAAGTGGCACCTTAAATATTATTTTTAAGATAAATGTCCTTGAATTAAATCATAAATTAAAACATAAATCAAGCCGGCGTATAATCTAGTACTAGAAATCTGACTAGACCCCCGAGTTAACCAGTTTATTTTTAATAAATTTCTTTTTAGATGGCAACGACAGCGATGGCGAGCCAATGGACACCTCTTACATGGAACCTCAACTCATGCTGGATGAATACGATGAGCCCGTGGAGTTCAAGTACAATCCCCTCACCGACAACAGCTCGCCCACGCAGGATCAGACGGACGGCAGCCACCTCAATGAGCAGGCGCGCCAGCAGGCCTTCCTCATAGCCGCCCAACGGAAACATCAAGCGGACACAGCAGCAGCAGCAGCGGCTGCGGCCGGCGGTGGACTCAAGCTCATTGTTGGAATGGCAGCTGGCGGGGCGCAGGTGAAGAGCATGGTCAGCATACCCAAATTGACGCCAATTGGCAAGGTCAATGCAGCATCCACGCCTCTCAGTTCGCCCGCCGCCTCCTCCTCCGTAGCAGCGGGTGCTGCGGGAAAGCCTCGCGTCCAGAAACGCCCCAAGCTGGGCAAACAGAACGGCGACGTCAAGCCGACGGCCGTGTTCACCAGTCAGGAATACCTCGATCTGTACAATAGCAACGATGGCTTTAAGTTCAAGGCCGGTTCCCTGAGTGGCAGTACGCCCAACTTGAGCAGCAGCGGCGGCGGCGTGGGCACACCCTCGGTAAAGACCAAGCTTAATCTGAGCAGCAATGTGGGCGAAGGCGAGGCGGAGGGCTCGGTCCGGGACTATTGCACCAAAGAGGGCGAGCACACGTACCGCTGCAAGGTCTGCTCGCGCGTCTACACGCACATAAGCAACTTCTGCCGGCACTATGTGACCTCGCACAAGCGCAACGTCAAGGTGTATCCGTGCCCATTCTGCTTCAAGGAGTTTACGCGCAAGGATAACATGACGGCGCACGTGAAGATCATCCACAAGATCGAGAACCCCTCCACGGCACTGGCCAATGTGGCGGCAGCGAATCTCGCCGGCCAACCGCTGGGTCTCTCGGGGGCCTCGACGCCGCCGCCGCCGGATCTGAGTGGACAGAATTCGAATCAATCGCTGCCCGCCACCGGCAACAATGCGCTCTCCACCTCCTCCTCCTCGTCGACATCGTCCTCCAGCGGTGGCTCCCTGGGAACGCTGACAGCGTCCACAGCACCGCCAGCGCCAGCAGCAGCGGCACAGTAATAAATCTCCGAACCCAACCTCACTCCAAGTCCAAAAAGAAAAAAGGAAAGACGAAGGGAAATAAAGATAATAAGTAGACAAGCGGAAGCAATAATCGTAAAGGAGAGAGAGGAGAGGTGGCAGGAGGAATCAGGTTGCAGCGCCAGGCGCTCTTCGCGATTTTTTGTTTGTTGAGAGAGAGCAGCAGCTTAAGCAATTAAAGTAGATCTTTTTTTTGTTGATTTTGTTTTTAGTTTTTTACTTGGCTTTGATTAATTATTATTTAACATTTTTTTTAAACTAAAAAAGGAGAAGAGAAAAGCAAGCGATTTACGGTTATTTTACATTGTGCAATTATTATTATTCTTCAATTACAATTCTCCGACTCTCTGGCTCTAGAGTTTTGTACTTTTGTCTGGACCCAAACCTCTCCTAGGCTTAAGCTAGGACCCTAAACTAAACCTAACCCGATTATAATTATTTATACCCCCGAAAACCAAGGAATATCCATTTGGACACCGCAGCGGCCTTACTAAGCATCCATTCGGGCAAGAGTTACACTACAAAAAACAACAGAAACCCGCACGTTTAGATAATTAAACTATATATATATTTATATATATATGCAGATATGTTATACATAATTATAAACCTAAAATAAGTATAAATATTGAATGGTATGTCTAGACCGTAGTTCTATTAATTAATTTATCATTATCACTATGTTCGATACGCTAATGTTAATACTAAATAATAATATTACAAGCCGAAATCTAAAGGGAAGACGGTGAGAATCCATGTATAATGTTAATTAATGCGAGAGGGAGCGCAAATCTACCTTGTTGCCTTCAAATGAAGCTAGTTAAAAGTTAAAAAAAGCGAGTCTGGGTTTAAGTGCCCCCACAGGACGCCCAGATCTCCTCCTATATAGTTTCCCCCCTGCAAATATCCCACAATCATAATAGAGAACCCATTTAATGGGGGCGATCGATAAACAATTAACGATAGACACACAAAAAGCAACAATAAATACTGTAATTTAACGCTAATAATAATCGTATATATAATTAATAACATAATTTATCAATCATCAAACGATTTATATGTTGTATATCGGAGGCTTAAATTATCGCCAAAGAAAATGAAAGAAAATCAAAAGAAAACCTAAACGAAAATGCAGTTGGAAAATCTAACAATAACGTGGCAAAAGCAGCAAGCAAACCAGGAAAAACACACAGAAAAACGATCTCCAAACAAAAATAAATAAAAACAAAACAAAAAACAAAATACAACCACTTGAAAAGGGTAAAAATATATGCAAGTAATTCCTCAAAAGTCATATTTGTTGCAATTCGAAAACTAGTTTAAACTGAAAACTGCTAGAGAAAAACTGAAACAAAATTAAGCGCAATCTAAAACAAACAATAAACAAGCTGCGTACGCTAATTTATTAAATAATTTTTGTTTTTAATTCTTTATTTAGTGGTAGCTAGTGCAATTTAGTCCGTAAGCCGCCGTCAAACACCGACTTCCACCTTCAACCACCAGCCAATCTCCAATCTTCCAAACTCTCCCCTTTTTGGCGTTATTTTAAACAATCAAACAACACACGCATATTGTTTGTACTATATTTTACTTTATTTTAGTCTACTTTTTTATATATACACATAAATATATATTTACATATATTTTGCAAAAAACAAAAAAGCTTCAGCAATTTTCTCGCTTTCAAAAAATATGTCCACAACTCGAAATCTATGCGAGGAATTATTATATATATACAGCTTACACGTAATATATAGAGTGAGTCATGCTTTGATACCCAAAGAAAAGAATAATAAGAAAAACAATAAATAAAGAAACGCAAGGCAAAAAATAAAAAAAACAAAACAAAAACCCTCCACATGGAAATGAGAAAATTGTCTGGAATTGTTGGTAAACATGGTTTTCCGTTTAAATTAGCCAATTACGAGACACACACACACTTTACGATATATTTGTATAATACGATACGTTAAACATAATTACCAAATAGTTAATCAGACACACGCAATATTAATCAAGCAGAACATTTATTATATTATATATCGTTTAAAACTGACCAACAGAAGAAAATAAAAAGAAACACAATTGAAAAAAAAAAAAACAAAATGCAAAAAACACTTGAACGAAATCAGTTCTGAAACACAAAATAGATTGGTTTTATTTACGATCTATGAGTTTCGCTTAACCCGTATGATCATTCGGTTCCGTTCCAGGATCTACTGGAAATAAACTTAAGGGATATCTCTCTCTTGTATCAGAACTGCAATTTTTGACTTCTTTCCTATTTGGGGAGAAAAACTGTGAGACTCAATTAGAGTTTAGGTAAATACAAGTTTAGGTAAATACAATATCCGTTCGCTACTGAGAAGAATTAGTACCCCTTGTAGTCCAGCTTTGCTGGTACTTGCGAGAGATTAATGGGGTAATTATTATTAACAGACACTTTGGGAAATGTTTCTTGCATCCTTTATCTTAGGAATCCCCCACATATTACTATACGATTAAAGACAAATTTTAAAAATAAGTTATACTTCTAATCAAACTATTAAACCAACATCTTTAAGATGGAATTGTTTTTAGCAACCTTTAAGTGGGCAACCTGCCGCATATTATAGGGGTAAAAAAAATGTTTAATTAAAAAAACTATTAAAATAAATTTCAAATAAGCTTTAAGCTCCAATTTAATTGTTATACATTTTCTCTATCTGCAGTGACTACCAATCAGGCGACTCCTGAACTTTCCCAGCGACTATTTGGCTCCACTTCGACCACAATCTCTGCAGCTTCCAGGGCACCCACCGCAGGCAACACATCTGTTCAGGAACCACTACCTCTTCTAGAGATTAGCGACAACAGGGACTCAGCACCAGTACACTTGCCCACCATCTTGGGGCTTAAGATAAGAGCCATTAATCCATCAACGCCGACGACTCCGACTCCGCCCACACAGACGCCGCCCCAAACCCCCTCAAAATCCAAACCGAAAACCAAGCATGGCAGTGGCAGCAACACCAATTCCTTGCTAAAGCAGCAACTTCGAGGTGGGGCCAAGGATCCCGAGCTACCACTGGCTCCCAGACGCATCACAGTGGCCGTTTCGCCCAACTCCACTTTGAGCATCGAGGAGACTGCCACCAAGGAGTTGGCAAGGGCAACCCAGGAGGAGGTCAATGCCTGCAGTGGCTTGCAATCGCTGGCCAATGCCGCGGAGCAGCAGGCGGCTCAGGTGCACCACCAGTTGCTTCTACACATGGCGGTGAATAATCCCATGCTAAAGACCACCGATTACTACCAGCAGCAGCAGCAACCACAGCAGGCCTCCCCCTCCAGTGCTGGCCAGTATATGGACGACGACATGGAGTTCCTCGTACACGATCAGCCTTTGAAAGATGACGAACCCGACCATGAAATGCTCACCCTGGCCGATGAAAATGCTGGACTGCCTGGCTATCAGGATGAGCGCTCCAAGCCCGACGAAGACTCACCCGAACCGGCACCTGTTGCTGCTCCAAGGAGCGGCAAAAAGGGAAACAAGCGGCCCATTCAAAGGCGACGGGTGCGTCGCAAGGCCCAGTCCACGCTGGATGATCAGGCTGAGCATCTGACGGAGATGTCAGTGCGGGGGCTGGATCTCTTCCGCTATGCCAGTGTGGTGGAAGGTGTATATCGGTGCACCGAGTGCGCCAAGGAGAACATGCAGAAGACGTTCAAGAACAAGTACAGCTTCCAGCGGCATGCCTTCCTCTATCACGAGGGCAAGCATCGCAAGGTGTTCCCCTGCCCGGTGTGCTCCAAGGAGTTTTCGCGGCCGGACAAGATGAAGAACCACCTGAAGATGACGCACGAGAACTTTACGCCGCCCAAGGATATTGGAGCATTCAGCCCGCTGAAATACTTGATAAATGCAGCGGCTGCCGGGGATATGCACGCCTCAATCTATCAGCAGCAGCAGCAGGAGCAGGCTCATTACCAGAGGCAGTTGGTCGAACAGGAGCACAGCAGCACAACGCCCCATTTGACAGCCAGGAGGATAGCTCGCAGCTGCTGCTGATGCCGGATGTGAAGCTCGAAGACCAGGATGCCGACGATGCCGAGCTCAGCGATGGCGGCGGCTACGAGGCCTCATCGAATCCCGCGGCAGCTGCCGCCGCCATGCTGAGCCTGCAGCAAGATGTTATCATCAAGAATGAGCTACAGATCTCGCCGTCGCCCTCGCCCACGCCCACCGCAGCCCCGCAGCCGCCCAGCTCCTGTGCGGTGGCGGAGGGCAAGTCCTTGGCGCTGGCCACCACCGCACAAACCGCAACGTAAAGACTTTTGGCAACGCGCACAACGCAACGTTTACCTTAAACAAAAGAATGCGAAGAACTGTAGAATACGTCATAGATATATTTAGGTTTAGATCATAAGCGATCGCGGCAGACTCAAATTGGTTAGTTAAATTTACTAGACCTTAATTTAAATGGTAAACGCATAAGCAATATTACTGTAACTACCAACTAGTACGTGCTCCGTCCAGCCTTTCACAAGCAAAACTAATTAACAAATAAGTGAATATTTAATTTTTAGCTAGGATATAATTTTTCAATAACGCACAGACTGGGGATGACAGAAAATATTGATTCTGTAATATTTTAGCCGAAATGAATACTTTAAAGTTGCAATCTATTGATATTATGTACGATATGTGGAACCAATTTTATGGGGAACAGATAAAAATACCCTTGCAGGGAACTATAATTTAAGTCAGAAGCCATTAAGAGACCCTGTAATATCATATATATTCTTGATCAGCATCAACAGAGGTGTCTTTCTAGCCATGTCCGAAAGGTTTGATAAGGGGTTACATCTTTAAAATTCTCACAAATTGATTAAAATAAGATTTCATTAACATTTAGTCAGCAGATAGTTAAGCTAGAAAAAACTAGCACAGAAAATTCCGATTTAAAATTGATGCTTTTTTGATTCGCTTCCATGGTCCTTTGGCACACTGCAAGGGTATACAAATTTCGGCTTCCCAAAGTTAGGTTCTGATAATATTGATATTTTAACTATAAAGGCGATATTTCTTTTTGATAGACCGTATCGCAGGATATGGTTATATATATATACATATACAGCCCACACAGTTCAGTGAACTTAAGTGACTTTCGGCTTTAATTATAAACAAATTTTTGACTGGCCCTCAGCATGCGAGGGCGCTCTCTCTACAACCTTTATAGTTTCCCTTTTATTTGTGATTTTTGTTGAACCTATTTAAGACTTCTAGCATCTTTTTGTTTTTGATTGTATATATTATACACTATATACACATATTGTTTAGTGTTTGTTTAATACTCAGTATGTAGTGTAATTATTTTGTTCAATTTCCTTGGCAACAAGCTGAAATTCAAATGTATTTGGCTAATTGTGCAATCATCAAAACGAGTTGGGGCGGAGCCGGGATCTGCAAAGGCTGCCTACCCCCAACACAAAGTGTTGTAACTTAATTACTTAATTTACTTAACTAGGTTTTAGTTACTCTATTTACCCTTAAGCCAAGCGATCCAAGCAACAAAATGCGCAAGGACTTCCAGTGAAGAAGAAATTAACTGATAGTTATACGGAATCCCAAATCCTGGTATTATGTATTATGATATTTGACTTTAACAACCGATTACTTAGTGCAACAACTACGACTTACCGCTCACAGAATATATGCGCTCAATCTTTTAGATATTTAGTTGGACAAGTCTTCTAGCATAACACTTTGCGGAGAGAATTGAGTACATTGAATAAAGAGAATATTTTACTGAAAAAAAGATAATTTCACTCTCTAAATACATGAAATAAGCATCATAGACCCACCTTAACTCTCGACTTTAGGCTCCTAGACATTTATTGCATTTAGCTGCTGACATCTTAAGCTCTAAATCTACTGATTATTGGCCCTGCGGTACCAGAACCGAGCCCGAAAGTCATCGGAGCAGGTGAGGAAAGCAGGTGCATTCGGCGAGTGGGTGATGTAACGCACAGGCCCGTTGTGCCCCAGAGAGTTGAGCGTCAAACGGCAGCCATTTCGTGAATTCCAGGAGCACAGCGACGTGGTGGCCTCGTCCGGGAAGAGTACGTAATCCTCGGTGTGGTTAAACACGGCTTCCGTTTGGTGCTCCTGCTTGCCAGTGGTGCCGGCACCCGTGTACGTCTGTATGGGACGGCTGGTGCACAGTTCCCACAGGTAAACCAGGGAATCCATGCCGGAGGAGAGGAGGTACTAAGGGGGAATACGGAAATGGTAATTGAATCTCTGAAAAACCCCCAAGGGGCTCACCTTTCCATTCCGCGTAAACTCAAGCGAGCAGATGGCCGCTCCGCCATGCGCCTCTGCTATGGTGTTGATGCAACGCCCGCTAATGCCGTCCCAGATCTTGATGTCGCCATCATAGCTGCCCGTGGCATACAGCTTGGCCGTGGGCGAGTACTTCACGCAGGTCACGCCCGCCTTGTGCTGCTGCGAGGGAATCGCGCTGACAAAGCACTGCGTGGTGTGCACGTCGTACACGCGCAGGACGTTGTGCTCCGTCCCAATGGCTATGTAGTCACCGGTGGGATGGAAGGAGAGGCACAGCACCGGCTCGCAGTCGGTGAACACCTTGTGGGCCTTCTTCACCGACGGCTTAGCGATGTCAAACAGCTTGACCGTGCCGTCGCGCGAAGCCGAGGCCAGAATGTGCTCCTTGGGATGGAACTCCAGATAGGACACCTCGTCAGTGTGGTCGTACAGCGTGCGTATGACCGGGTGACCCTGCTGCTCGCGCCCGGGCTCTATATCCTCGGGCGCCGACTTGGCCAGCATGCGTTCCACGTCCAGGATCTTGATGCTGGCGTCCACACTGCCGGTGGCCACCAGGGAGCCGTCGCAACTGAAGGCTCCCGCACGGCAGGCCTGCTTGTGCGACGTCACATAGGCGGTCTCGTAGGAGTGCGGCTCCGGCGCCAAGGCCGACGCCTCCGGCTCGAACTCCAGGTCAATGCCCGGCAGCACGTCGTCCGAGTGGGCTTTGTCCTTGTCGCTCAGCGTCTGCATGCCGGCGATCATCACGTGCAGCAGCCGCTCACTGGGCGCGCACTGGTCCGCCTTCACCAGCATGGACAGCTCCATGGCGAACTTCTCCAGGCCGTCGTACATCAGTTGGCTGAAAAGGGGCTTTTAGGTTTTGCCTGTGGTTCTGGCGCCCACCTACCTGATCATCAGGCGGTAGAGTATCTCCCGGTTCTTGACCAGGTTGCTGGGGTCCAGGATCTCGTCGCGCATGGTGGTTATTGTCCTTTATTTGGTGTAAACAAATCGGTGCTGCGCCGGCACTTGTGGTGCGTCTTTCTGTGTGTGCGTCTTCTGCGAATGGCCGAAAACGTGGGCGCGTTTTGTGCGAATAGCTAGAACCGTGTCTGCGTTTTTGGCGAATGGCAAACAGGCGGTATTAAATCACCAGTGTGGCAACGCCACAGGGGATTTGGGATTTTTCAATTCCATCAGATACAGCCACTCTAAACAGCTGCAACACGTGCGGCCTGAAATTGTTTTGGTTTTAGCAGCAGCCTTTTTCGCAAACTAAACAGCCTTACCATGAAGATCCGCAAGAATCATAGAGGCAAGCACTACCGCTACAACGTGAACCGCAAGACGCTGAACAAAACGCGCAGCTCCACGGGCAAGATCAAGGAGTAAGTTGTGCTCTTCCACAAGACCGACTCTTACCCTGTGTTTTCCTTCGCAGTCCCAAGCTGAAGAAGATGTGGATGGAGCACCAGCGCGTGGGCACCAACTTCGCCGAGATGGGCTTGGCCAAGGACGCCAACAAGGCCATTTCTATACCAAGCTACAAAAAGGACCGCCTTCATGCGGCAAAGGTGGTCAACGGGTTCATCGAGGAGGAGCTGGACGAGGACGAGCGCCGGGTGTTGGGCCTGAAGAAACCACCTGTGGAGGAGGCACCAAAACGGGGGCATGTGGTCCAGGAGCTGGAGCAACTGGCCAGCGAGCGGGCAGATCCCGAGTTCAGGTAATTCATGAGGTTCTTTACCATAAAAGTCATATATAACCAATGGATATCCCTCAGATTACCCAAGGGCGTTGTGAAGGAGCTCACCTACTTCCTCAACAAACACAAGTTTAACTACAAGGCCATGGTCGCGGATCGCAAGAATTTCGGCCAGTGGACCTGGCGACAGTTCCGCCTGAAAATACGCAGGTTCATGTCCATTCCGGAGCAGTTCAACATTTATCTGGAGCAGGAGAAGCTGCCAGTGGGCGTGAAGCCGGACTGGGAGGAGTACGAGTCGGACAGTGAATGGACCTTGTAAATGATTCGGATCTATCATATGCCTATGTAATGCCTAGATTTATCTTTTATCTTTAAATAAACAGAAATAGAAACGTACTTATTTACAGACTTTTCTTTTAGTTATTTACAATCTGGAACTTGAAGGAAGTTGATCGGTGTGGGATTGAAGATGGGGAAGAGTGCTGTACATGTTATAAGATTACTTGCAAGAATGTACGCAGTTGGCTTTTAATTTTTTAAATTTATTAAATATATTTGCATAGTTTTCGTTTGATCAAGCCTTAGTCATTTTCCTTTCCCGTTACGTGTTAAAATGGTGCACGTCACGTTCCCCCATCCATCTAATCGGGAAAGAGTCGCCTTGAGACTAAATGCGTACGAACATACATACATACATACATATATATGTATGTAGTTTTTAAACTTAACATCTAATATTAATGCAATTGATGCAGGCCCCAAAAACATGTTTAAATCGGTGATCTCTCCCTCAATCCTCATTAAAAATTAGAAAAATAGCGCTCCTGGGGACGCCATTAGGATTCGCACGCACACATCACACACACATACACGCCCACACATTCACACGGACACAGAAATCAAATTTCGGTGCTCACTTCTTCTTCTTGCTCATTTAAATGTACTTAAAACTATACTGTAATTTAACTTAATAATTATTTGGTTTTTTTGGTTTTTTTTATATATATTTTATTCAATTTATTCTAGTTTTTTGTCGCTTTTCTATTCACACTTCACACACCAACGCTTGGCTTTTCGCCATTTTGCTTTTTCCTTTTACTTCTATTTTCTTTTGCAACCATTTTGGGCGTCCTCAGAGATTAAAATACAGAATTGTGTTTAAAGCCTTTTATTGTAACTTAACTTGAAATTAATATAAATCTATTCACAAATTCCTTAATAAATAAGCCTACGCTAATTTTGCCTTATTTATTTAACTTTGCTCCTTCAAATTGGAAGTGTTTAAAAGCAAATATAGCGAAGCATTGGACATTGGACGTATAGTTGACTACTTGTGGTTTCTTAAAAAATTAAAATTTAATTATATCGAAGTAAACCAAGAACAAACGAAAATAATACAAATAACAAGTACAAAATATTGATCTATAGTATTTCATTTTAATTTCATTATTTGAACGTTATAAAATACGCCACCTATCATGTATAGCGCTAAACATAATTACATTTTACATTTTACAGTCCGTTAGCAGGATAACAGAGTGTTGTGGCTCTGCAAAACCTCTGTTAGTCTGAAATTCCATAGGCAAACTCTGTTACTCTCATGTAAGGGACCAGGGGTTGTGTCAGTGGTTCCAGTATCAACTAGCAGCTGTGGTTCGAATATTGAATATATTTAAAATTAAAAAAAAAAAAAAAAACAAAATTTTCCTAAAGTGTTTGTGGTTGGTCACACTGCAGTGTTTAAAAAAAAGAAAGCGAGAAGAAAAGTGGCGCAATTGAATATTGTATGGTCTTTCCGTTTTGTGATTTTCGCAAGGTAAGGTCGTTGGAGCTCCCGCAAAATCTTTAAAAATTGCCCATATTAATAGGCATCGATTGATTTTCCAATTGTGCTTCGACCCGACAACCACCAGTATCGTGAGATTCCGGTGTATTTAGAAGAATTTCCATCGATTCAGAGGCGAAATAGTACATTTTTCTGCAGTTTTAAGCAAGTTTGTGCGTGTGTGTGTGTGCGTGTGCCAATGAAATTGCAGTGCCGGCCGGTGTCCCATGACGTTTTGCATAATAGCCGCATGGAAATAACGGTGGCGAATCCATCGATCCCAGTTTGGTAATTGGAGGAGTTCTTCGACGTCTTTCCGATAGATTAAACAAAAATTCCTGAAGACTTGCGAATTCCAAAATGGCGGCGGCAGTGTGTGTGTGTGCATTCGATTTGAATTCAGATTCAATTTCTTTCCTACGCACCTTTTCCCGGAAGTGTGTGTGTGTGCATTCGATTCGATTTATTCCGATTCAATTTCTTTCCCACGCACCTTTTCCCGGAATTTGCATGGGAATCTTTGCAGAATATTGAAAATTAATGCACTTGACACATGCTCGGCAGATTTTCCTTGACGTGCAAGTGTGTGTGTGTGTCTGCCAGAGTATTTTTACATATCCCTCGTTCCTCATGTGCTTCTTTCTTGCTTCTTCTCCTTCCCTTTCTTGCATTTTGCACTTTAATGCAAATACAGAGATTTAAAAATAACATGCGGGAAAATCGGCAAGTAAAATTGTCACTGGGGTAGAAAATAAATCACAACGCCCTATAGGTGTGTGTGTGTGTGTGTGCAAGGAAAGAGAGCCCCATCTAAGTTTTTCGTCTGCCTCTCGCGGCAAGTGCAGTCTGCGGCAATTTCGGCATCTCGCCATCTCGCTCTCCTGCCCGCTCTGCTTCCTCTTCGGCTTTTGCCTGTCTGTGCGTGTGTGTGCGTGTCTGCCGTGCAATTTTTCACCCTTCGGAATCGCGAATTTTCTGCGGAATGCCGATGCTTTCCTCCGACTGATTTTTATTCTTCGATTTTCTCTCTATTTCATCGACAAATAGCTTATTGCAAAAGTTATTCAGATCCTATTGCAGGGGAATTGCGCTTTGAAAAGCCGGCCGGTAATTTTCCCTGATTTACCCCAGAGTTTTTCGGCTCCATGGTGGTTTGGGGTTAATGGTCGCGTCGTCGTCGCCGTCTGGCTGGAGAGAATGCATTTTCTCAGAGCTCCGGTTCTCTTCGGCTCTGTTCGTTTTCAGTCTGGGCTCGTTATTGATTTTTCACCCGGTGCAAATCGGTACATCTCCTCCGCATTACGGCAGTCTTCAACCCGACGGACACTTGGCTTGGTCGTTGTCCGGGTTCAAAAAGTACGGAAGGAAAACACTTGCAATGCATATAGACATTATTTCACAATTTTCTGCAACACATTTTTCTCTCTGTTTTTTCCAGGAAAATTGCGTCCTGTGGATTTGTCATCAGTTTTGCTAGCCAAAAGCAAAGCCAGCGAGCATCCCTGTAAAACAGTTAAACAGGTGAGTTCGGCTTTTCCTTATTTAATCTAACGTGAACTATGGAGGAAAAGTTGGGATGAAAGTGGAAAGTACCGTTAATTATGCTTTTTTCGATCAAAAAATGCAATTCCCTGGTTTATACACTTTAAAATTTAGATATCCTCTCTAACAATACAAATTTTAATAAAATATAAAAAGTAAAAAAGAAAAAATTAATTCAAATAATAAAATAATTTAATAGACTTGTTATAAAAAATCAATTTTCAATTACTTCAAATTTAAAAAAATATATATTTATCTTCTTGATACTTTATTTTTGTATTTTTCCCCCTGTGCATATCTGTGCATGTGTAAATGCAACGTGCTTTGTGTGTCTACACCACGATGACACGACCCACACCCACCGCATACATACGTCATAGGTCTGCAGCGCCACCCCCCAGCCCTCCACCCCCAAGTCCCTTTACTATATGCATATTCACATATATACCAAATTTCCTTTAACCCTCTCGTTTCCCCCTTTTAGCAATCAAGAAAAAGGCATATAAAACCCTTCTTTCAACTCTGCAAAGATGGGCAAGGAGAAGATTCATATTAACATTGTGGTGATTGGCCATGTGGACTCCGGCAAGTCGACCACCACCGGCCACCTGATCTACAAATGCGGCGGCATCGACAAGCGTACGATTGAGAAGTTCGAGAAGGAGGCCCAGGAGATGGGCAAGGGCTCGTTCAAGTATGCCTGGGTCCTGGACAAGCTGAAGGCAGAGCGCGAGCGCGGCATCACCATCGACATTGCCCTGTGGAAGTTCGAGACGGCCAAGTACTATGTCACCATTATCGATGCTCCCGGACATAGGGACTTTATCAAGAACATGATCACCGGCACCTCGCAGGCCGACTGTGCGGTCCTGATTGTGGCCGCCGGCACCGGTGAGTTCGAGGCGGGCATCTCCAAGAACGGCCAGACCCGTGAGCATGCCCTGCTGGCCTTCACGCTGGGCGTGAAGCAACTCATTGTGGGCGTGAACAAGATGGATTCCACTGAGCCGCCGTATAGCGAGAATCGCTACGAGGAGATCAAGAAGGAGGTGTCGTCGTACATCAAGAAGATCGGCTATAATCCGGCCTCGGTGGCATTTGTTCCCATCTCGGGCTGGCATGGCGACAACATGCTGGAGGCCTCGGAGAAGATGCCCTGGTTCAAGGGCTGGACCGTGGAGCGCAAGGAGGGCAAAGCGGAGGGCAAGTGCCTGATTGACGCGCTGGACGCGATCCTGCCGCCGCAGCGTCCCACGGACAAGCCGCTGCGCTTGCCCCTCCAGGATGTCTACAAGATTGGTGGAATCGGAACCGTACCCGTTGGCCGCGTGGAGACGGGCATCCTTAAGCCAGGTAAGCTGGGCTGCTACTCCCGTCTTATTTAGCTGCATTGTTTTTCCGGGTCGAGTGGGAGGTGTTTCCTCTCTCTGTCTTTCTGTCTACCACCCTTTGATTATGTTTCATTCATGTACTCCTTGGAATTTGGGTCGGCTGTGGGAGGGGTGCCACTCCCTCGGCTTGCCACGATGCCCTGCGCATGTATGCATTATTGAGCGAGTGTCTCTGCCGAGAGCAAGGCGGCACTGCACCCCCAACCCCCAGTGCACATTGAGAAATTGGGGATACTTATCGTCGGAGAGAGAGGAGCTCTGCTAAGAATATTACGTATACGCACATAAATATATTTTATTTCATTCCCTTGCAGGCATGGTCGTCAACTTTGCTCCGGTCAATCTAGTCACCGAGGTTAAGTCCGTGGAGATGCACCACGAGGCTCTCACCGAGGCCATGCCCGGCGACAATGTTGGCTTCAACGTGAAGAACGTGTCGGTGAAGGAGCTGCGTCGCGGCTATGTAGCCGGCGATTCGAAGAACAATCCCCCCAGGGGAGCAGCTGATTTTACCGCTCAGGTAAGAAATATTGAAACAGTTTTAAAGAGTATGTATTATTGTGTTTTTAGAAGGGATCCTAACTTAAATTATTTAAGTCTTTCTATTAATTTTGTACTTTTGTAGGTATGCCTTTAAAACATTTTCCTCCAAAGGTATATTTAATTGACTGACTATATCCTTTCTTCTGTTCCAGGTGATTGTGCTTAACCACCCCGGCCAGATAGCCAACGGGTATACTCCAGTCTTGGATTGCCACACGGCCCACATAGCCTGCAAGTTTGCCGAGATCAAGGAGAAATGCGATCGTCGTACGGGCAAGACCACCGAGACGGAGCCGAAGGCTATCAAGTCCGGTGATGCGGCCATTATAGTGCTGGTGCCCAGCAAGCCGCTGTGCGTCGAGAGCTTCCAGGAGTTCCCACCGCTGGGTAGGTTCGCTGTACGCGATATGCGTCAGACCGTGGCCGTGGGCGTTATCAAGTCGGTCAACTTTAAAGAGACGACCTCGGGCAAGGTAACAAAAGCTGCTGAGAAGGCACAGAAGAAGAAATAACTAGGGTGCCAGCAGAACTACGACAACATCATCACTCGAATCCAACAGCAGACGGCCAGAGCAGCAAGAACACCAGAAGCAACATGCACACATCTCAAGTTTATAATATCCAATCGACGATCAAAAGCAAACAAGAACTACCTTGGCTCCAGGAAGACGACACCAACTACTACTATCAACAGGCAGATATTATATGAAATCGAGCCGATGCCACAGATACTACGATATATAATAATCCCACAAACAAATATTAGCGAGGAGGAGGAGAGGAGCTGCAGCACCTTGACCGCCTTGGCGGTGCTCGTAGTGGCGGTTCACTGCCTCATCTATCTGAACTTGTATCGTCATCGCAAGTCGTTCCGCAGGAAACCCACTGGGACCCTGACGCTGTAGCTCCTTCGTTATATACTCATCTACAAAACTAAGCTTACATTTGGTTAGCAGCCACACACATCCTGTCGTGCATCATCCACCCGAGTCTCGAATATGGATTTTAAACAATTTTTATACTTTTGATAAGTCAAGTCGGAGGCATTCGATTTAAAATCTATTATACGATGTAATTTTCGAATTTAGTTTTAAACCTCCCCCCCACACACACACTATACCCAAACTAAAAAAAAAAAATCAAAGACTACATTCGTAATGAATTCAAAATTTTCTCTTGAAACCAAAAGACAAATGCTTAAGAAGTATTAAAAAAAAAAAAGAAAAAATCATCATAACACACACACAACATAATCATGCGGTTTTTGAAAACATTATAAATGTTAGATCGAGCCTCATTTTGCATTTGCGAATACTTACATTAAATTATATACGTTAACCGGATCATCGTTCGTCATCATCGCCCATATATAAAACCAGCATGTAATTCACGTTACTCTCACCACTCTGAATTTATAAACAAATCATCATAATACCCAAACAACCATTTATAAATGGATACAGAACATGTTGCTTGATACAAGATCTTTTAAATGATGAGAAAAATAAAGGAAGCTTAACCGTAAAATACCAAAATAAATAAGCAAGTGCGTTTTATTAATAAAACTTAATATATTTTTGTAAATGCAAAAATATAATTTGTGGCTTAATTTATTTAATTTAATGTATTTATCGAGCCCTAATGTAGTTCTCCTGAGTCTGCGTAAACTGATGATAATATAGACCATTTTAAATGTTTTTTTTTTAATATTTTAATGAATTTAAATTCCCTATAATGTATTCGAAAACAACAAAGGATGCCCAACTAGGAAAGCCCATTCGGATATCGTTTCAGTTAAAAAATCGATCATAACTAAGCCAAAAATTCATTTATTTTAATTCGGAGAACGGTTCTGCTTTAGTTTTTATTCAGTTTTTATTTTTATATATATCGACAATAATTTGACAGACATACAAATACGAGTACATACATACATACATTCAAAAATCTTAATTAAATAAATTCAAGATTTTAAATATATACATATATAAAAAAAAATAAATAACAATAAAAAATTAAAGTTAACGCTTTATAACTTAGATAAATTTCGATAATTATCAATTAACGGAAACAATCGAGACTGCCATAATCGACTTTCTGCCACCTCTACTTCTGACTCACTAGGCGGCTTTTTATAAAAACAACAAAGAATCTCAGCCGCCTGTTCACAATTGAAACGCCAAACTGTGACTCAGACCAGAAACTCCTCCGTTGTGCACAATTAGCTTTCGTCGAGCAAAGAAACTCCCTGAAACAAATCAAAAATGGCTGATCCGCGCATCCGCCAGTTGGTAATCAAGACGGGAGTCGTCAAGCGCCTGGCCAAGGAGAAGTCCGTTTACGAGAAGGAGGTCCTGACTGAAAAAGCCAGGATGGAGAAGTTCAGGGGCGAGGGGGCCGACGACCACGTGCTGCGCAAGCAGGAGGAAGTCATCGCCGAATGCGAGATGATGATCCCCGACTCCAAGAGGAGGCAAGTTCCTTTTAAATCTCATTAAAGCGGGGCGACTAATCTTTTGCTTATTTTGCAGGCTGCAGAAGGAGTTTGAGGTCTTGAAGAAGTATCTGGATGACGAGCAGGATCTGAAGGAGAAGGAGGAATACACCAAGGCAGCAGATGTCCTTGCAGAGGCAAAGACGGTCCTAGAAACCTAAGAACAAAGCGCTAGCCGCGCACATTCCCCTGGAGACCTCAAGCTGTCGAGCGGCCTCTTATCACTAAGTATTTGCAGCCTGTAGCATTTAATACCTCATTTCGGACGGATTTATAATACAACAAATTAACATTCAAAACAAAGTCAGCTGTTTTGCTTTTTCGCTAGCCAACACTAGTTTCCCGAAAAGCCGCTGTAAATATATAAATACCGCTGTAAGAAAACATTATTTTATATATGTTTTTAACTATTTAGAATTATCGAAACAAAAATATTCGAAATAATTAAATCAGTGGTACTAAGTTTCACATTTTGTATTATCACAACTTTGACGTTTATCAACACTGGTTGACAAAATGCAGCATAAAACTCTTAAATTAAGCGAAATTAAACAAAATATACGATATGTACTTGAAAATTTACAACAACTGGAGCACCTAACTGACAATGACGCCCAGGATTTCAATGCAGAGCAGGCGGAGGAACTGCAGCGCAGCACGACAACCCTGCTGGATGCACTTGACCAAGTGCCCGTGGCCAAAGTAGCCGGCATACAAAAACAAAGGCGCCGCCGGCGTCGCTTGGATAAACAAAAGAAAAAGGAGCCCAAATTGAAAGCCAAGAAGGCAAAGCAGGGCTTGCAGTCGAAACCAAAGGTATCCTTTGAACCATCGCTGACTTCCAGGGAGCAACAGGCAGAGCACATCTCCCTGAAGAAACGCCATGATGCCGCCTCAATATTGCACACTTTGGATCTTCTGGAGAAACTGTGTAAATCTAGGGGAGGAGACAAGCTGGCCCTCAGCCAGAAGCTGGCCCAAATGCGTGTGGTTTGGCGCAGAGTCCAGCAGGAGAATGAAGGCGACCATGACAGGGAGTCCCAGAAGAGGGTTTCCTCCATAGAATCGCAATGGCAGGCGGTTTTCTTCGGTCAATCTTCAGATTTTGTTAGGGAAAACAAGGAGACTTTCTGCCAGAGGCGGTAAGAACTGTACATTTCTGAAGTTCTGTAGTTTTGCTACAGTAAAATGTTTCTTTTTTCAGTTCCATATGGGATTCTTATATAAGCTATGGGCAGAGAGCGTCCTGTATTCCCAGAGGATGGGTGCTACCGCCTGAAAGTGCTCCAGATCTATGGACGGAATACAGAACTGCATAGATATTCATTTATTCTTAAGTAACCCTCTTCTAATAAGTACTATTAATAATTATGTTTGTGGAATTTTATTTCTTTAGAAGAATATCTGTTTTATAGCTTAAATGAGGGGCAAGTGCGGAGTTAACCACGCACACACACGGTGTATTCCAGCCGCTTATTCGTAGACCCAATCGACGGCAGCCGGGGTCCAGGTGACCAGCTCCTTCTCGTTGAACCACAGAGCGATCTCCTTCTCGGCGGACTCGACGGCATCGGAGCCGTGGATGATGTTGCGTCCGACCTGGATGCAGAAATCACCACGGATGGTGCCGGGCAGGGAGTCGGCAGGGTTGGTGGCGCCGAGCATCTGGCGACCGGTCTTGACCACATTGAGACCCTCCCAGACCATGGGCACCACGGGGCCGGAGTTCATGTAGTTGACGAGTCCGGGGAAGAAGGGGCGGGCCGAGAGGTCAGCGTAATGCTTCTCCAGCAGCTCCTTGGAGGCCTGCAACGATTACAACACGCAGAGCGTTATCACTTGATTGCTTTTTTGACCTCTACAACGGGCGGTGTCGCCGCAGTAATGGCTGTGACGCCTGCACCCAACCCAGCGCCAGCCGCCACCTTTGAGGTTAGATCGGAAAGATAGCCCCCGCGTGGGGCATCGATTTTGTTCGAATAATCCAATTATCGCTACGGCGCTTACCCAGGTGAACTTCAGAGCGACCAGTTTGAAGCCTTTTTTCTCGAAGCGCTCTATGATCTTGCCGACGAGTCCACGCTGCACGCCGTCTGGCTTTACCATGATAAAAGTACGCTCCTTGTTGGCAGCCATAGCTACGGAGATAATTGAGAAAAGTGCCAAAATGCAGCCTAGCATTTGCAGCTTCGTGTGTTCCGTGTGCTTTGGAAAAATCTCGAGTGGCATTCGCCGGCCGGCAGAATTAATTCGCCAGCGCCAGACGGTCACACTGCACACAGCAAGGTAAGCTTTGGCCTTTATTTCTTTTGTTTTAATCAACTTTCGGCCGGAAGTCCTTTACCTGGGTCATGGCATTCGTTTGCTTAGCAGGTGAACACTAATTGATTATTAATTTAAGTTAAAAATGCAAAAAGTTGGGGGTCACTGCGCCAGCTTGTGCTTCTGCGCAGTAAGACCGTGCCGCCGGCCGTTATTTAGGACCTTTTTCGATTTAACCCCCATTCTTTTTGTTTTTGGGGATGAAGCTGTGTGCGTTTGTGTTTTCGCAATTGTTCGACTTGAAAAAAGTGAGTTTCCTGCAAAAGCTCATCAGCCGAACCGAGAAAAAGTGGAAAATCAATCACTATAAAAATCTCTTACACCTCTCTTCCCCCGAAAAAAAACAGCAGCCCCAAGATGGAGGATTGTGAAAGCGATGCCTTTATGCTGGACGATCTGCAACTGGCCGCAGAGCTGGGGAAAACTCTGCTGGAGCGGAACAAGGAGCTGGAGGGGCAGATCAAGGAGTACAAGTTCAAGGCGGACGAGCAGGAGCGCGAGATCGTGCACCTGCGGAAGCACATCAATGCCATGACCGAGGTGAACGACTCCCGGCTCAAAGTCTACGAGCAGCTTGAGGTGGGGATTCAGGACCTGGAGCGGGCCAACCAGCGGCTGAATGTGGAAAAGAGTCGCGACAAGAAGCAGATCAAGCTGCTCACAGCCAATGCCGAGGGCCTGGAGGCTCGCTGCGAGGAGCTCACCCAGCAGCTGAGCGATGCCCGGCAATCGCTAAGCACGGAACGGCGAAAGGTCGATCGTTATCAGCAAGAACGGCAGAACATGAAGGCCGCCGAGCCACCGGTGTGTTTCAACACCAATTCACCCATAACCAGCGACCAGGAGTTGGGTTTTCCCCAACTCCAGGCCATAGCCCTGGCCAGTCCCGAGAACCTCTCGCTGTGCAATGCCAACCTGGCCCTGAGTCTGGCCGAAAAGAGCTCTATGAAGAGCGAGGACAGCGAGGAACTGGTCAGGCTGCTGGGCGAAATGGAGACCATTAAGCGGGACTTCCTCACCGAGCAGCAGCGTTGCGCCGAACTGGAAGAGCAGCTGGTGTCCATTATCCAGGAGAACCAGTGCTTGCAGGGCCGCCTGGCCGACAATAGTGCCAACCAGGAAATGATGTCCATGCACGAGGAGCTCTCCCTTCTAGACGACGTGCGGCAGGGCCAGATGTGCAGTCGCTGCCTGCGGGACATCAACGAGAGCATCCACAATCTCGACGAGCAGTCGTCCGTGGCCCCCACGGAGGAGATCTACGAGGACGACGAGCGGAGCATGCTCAGCGAAAGCACCTCCAAGTTCAGTCACAGTGCCATTGAAGATCGCTTCCGGAAGCCCGGCGACGATCCACAACTGAACGCCATCGAAAGCTCAAATCCGTATCGGGATCTAGTCGAGAAATATGAGGCTCTGCTGGAGGTGCAGCGGACTTCCATTGCCTCGAAAAATCTAGCCGATGCCAAAAAGACAAATGACTTGATTCCTCCTCCGCCAGTTCTGCAGCAGAAAGAGGAGACCATTGTCAGCAGCTCAAAGGAATCTGTGGTGACGCTCAACAATGCCCCCATCGAGTTCTCGGAAGCGGAGACCTCCTCGTCGGGCTTCTCTGACGGAACGGGTAACAAGTGCACACAGACCGAGGAGCGGCCCAGCTCCTTCCTTTGCTCAATCAGCAATGGCAACGATTGCAAGTTTAGTATCTACGACGATGTCAGTCCCATTGAATCTCACTTCCGCAACCGTCCCGAGCACCGGGAGCTCTTCAAGGAAATCTTTGGGGTGCTGAAGAAGGCGGCCGACAACAATGAGAGCGAAGATAAGCAAGGGGTTGAGGCAAGTGCCACAGCTGCTTCGGATATCCCAGTTCCCCAGGTGGCCATACCAACCCTGAAGGAGGAATCCCCCGAGGACGACACCCAGAGCGTGGTCTCTTCGATCATGTCCAGTCAGTCCATAGCCATATCGGAGTGCGTGACCAAGCTTGAACGGAAGACTGCCAAAAAGCACATACTATCCGTCTCAAGCTCTTTGAACTCGGCCTCCAAGCAGGGCTCGGTTTGTGAACCCTCCACCATGAAGCCCATTGAGGAGAATGGCCGTGTGCTGACGCCTCTGAAACGGGAGCCCCTCGAGTATATAACCATAGCAGTTGGCATTAAGAAAAAGAATAGAAGGAAGCACCGCAACCAGAGCTCATCCCGCGACCGCGTCGACTTGATTGACTCCCGTGATAATCTGAGCCGGAACAGTCCTCTGGCCATCAGGCAGCAGCACCAGCACCACATGGGGCAGGGCAGTGTCTCGGCTCCACTGAACAGAGACTTTGGACGCGGCTTTAGCCGCAGAGGCAATGCTCCCTCTTCGTCGTCGTCGGCGTTCTCGGGCAACTGGAATGGCTCCCCTATGGTGATTTATAACCAAAACATGAACACGCCTCGAACTTCGCGTGGCCACAATACCGTGTCCCAGGATCTGCATAAACTCAAAAAGCTCGATCTGTCCTATGCCGAGGTATTGCGACGCGCCGACCCTCCCTGTGATTATGTTACCCCGAAATTGCAGCATTCCCAGCGACAGCAGCAGCAGAGCAACGGTTCCACCTCGCGGAAGAACCGCCAGAGACGCCAATAAATCTACTTTTAAGGGAACTTAGTAATTATTTATACCGAAACCGAATCCTTTTTTACCGGGCATTTAAATCCTTTTAATTTGATGTGTCATGAGAACTCTAGTCCGTTTCGAAAGCATATAAGACAGTTAAATTGCCTGTAATCGTAATCTCTATAAATCTATCCCTATAATCCGGCAATAGTTCGCTTGCTGTTACAATTGTCTCATGTTTCCTCGTAGTTTCTCGTAAATTGTGAATAATTAACGAGCGGGCTAAGCTTGCAAAAGACGATAACTTACATAACTTGAATTTATATCTACAAAATCAGCATGACTAAACTTAATATTGTATCCTAACTAGTAAGTCTTTTATTTCTGTAGTACTGTTTTGTGTATTTATTAAGATCTCTCTCTAGTTTACAAATTAATAAAATTACAACCAATGGGCAGATGTGAGTTTATTTTTTAATATTTTCAGGATTGTTTTTCTAAAGTTTAAACTTTAAAAATATTACGTTAAGAAGGTATTTTCATTTTTAAAACTCCAAAAATGATTCATCCCGCCTTCAATTAAAAAAGTAAACGTCCAAAAAGTCACGTTCCGATTTGGTTTTATAATTCTGATTAGATTAAATCCGGCAATCACTGCGAGTGATAAACAATACAAATTAACAAATAGTATATACAGTCTGGAGAAGATGCAAATAATACGCAAATGACGTTACTTAGTGCCGTCCAGCTTCGTCAGGCCGTCGGCGTACTGGAACTCCGGGCTGTTCTCGTACTCGCACATGTCCAAGGCGATGACGCAGCTCTCCTTGACCACGCGCTTGTCGTCCTCCGCATAACGATTCAGGATCTGTATGCAGTCCTCGGTGGCAATGGCACCCAGGGCCTCGGCACACTCGTGGCGCACCATCTCGTTCTCCAGACGATCCTCGAGGTTCTCCTGCAGGTACGGGATGCTGCAGGGCTCCTGTAGTTGGCCCAAAACAAAGGCCACCTCGTGGCGGAAGAGGGCGGACGAGTCCTTGAGTCCCTGGGCAATGGCCAGGACACTTTCCTCGGAGCGCAGGTTCCGGAGACTGAACATGGCTCTATAACGATCGAACAGACTTTGCTTGGCATCCAGATAGATGCTCTTGAGTTCCGCCACGCTCTTAGCTCCCGCTGCCGGCGGCGATGGATCCACCGAGGCGTAGGGATTGTTGTCATCCACCTTCTGGCCGCTCTGCAGCCAGCGGACGCGGTCCAGAGCTATGGCACATGTCTCGGCCACCTCCACCACCGGATCCAGCTTGTACTTCTCCAGAATGGGCAGCACATCAGGGTGACCGATGGCTCCCATGGCCTCCGCCGCCTCGTGCCGCACCATCGGCTCCTGGGCGGTGTCCTTCAACACCTTGGTGAGTATGTCCAGTGCCTGGGTGTCCTGCATCTGGCCCAGACAGTAGGCCAGCTCGTGTTTGAGGAGCGCTGAATCATCGTTGAAGGCTTTGCTGATTGCCTCGATGGCCGTTCCACCGCCTATGTTCTTCAGTGTGAACAGAGCGCGGAACCGCTCCTTCAGGGGGCGATCCTTGTTATTCAGGACGCCGCCGATGGCTTGGATTTGTTCCTGGGAGACCATTTCGTTGGTGTTTTGAACTGAATTCTCTCAAAAAGCCGCGTGGTGAGTGTGACCGTACCGATAACTGATAAATGTAAACAGTCGACCTATCGACCGCTGCGAGATTTTAATAAATGTATCGATAGCAAGCCGAATAGGCGCAACATTTCAAATTCATATATGAAGACACTTTTTGATCAGCACCAAATCCGAGTTCCCAAAAAAAATGTAACAATAAGTTGTAGATTTATGGCGCCACGCTCCCAACGAGCTTTTTGTCCTCTTTGTGTTAGCCCCTTATCAGTGCTTACCAGCGCTGTTCTTTCGTTTCGTAACGCCTGTCTTATCAACCTTACTGCTCCATATACATATTATTTTGATATTATTAAACAAATAGTACATTTGTTTATAAACAAGTGCTACTCACATGTCTATTGAACTATTGGAAGAACCCTTTGACATTGAACTTGGTTCGGATGCAATGAAATATGTATGTACATATGTTATATAGTTTTATTCCTGCAGAAATTATATTAATTATTATGTAAAACTTCCGCTTTGTGCAAGCGACAGAGGGAAGTATTTGTCATAGCACTTCCGTAATGTGGAAAGAGATGCAAGTTCCAGCTGCAGTTTCGGTTTGCTTAATTTTTTGCTTTATGGCAACCGTTAAAACAAGTTGACAGGCATCGATCAGCGCTCTTTGTTTATCAGTTGCTCTCTTCTTTTGTTTCGTAGCTTTTAAATCGAGTTTTTATTTATTCCAGCATAACAGAAACAAACAAAGCACCCGCAAGGCCGCAAAGCGTGCGAGGGAGATGGCAGAACACAACAAGAACAAGCTAACTTTGGAAAGCCGAAGTTTGTATACCCTGGCGATTTTCTTTTCCACTGCGCTGCAAACTTTTGATTATAACCGTAATAAGCTCTCATAGGGTATAATAAGAACAACAAGCCATTGGATTCCACTCACAGTCCACACACACTGTCACCGGCACACGTACCCGAATCGAAAGGGGAGGGGGAAGCGTCTGGGCCTCCCTTTTCAACGGGAGTGGAAAAAGACTTTCGTCACGTAGCAACAGGCTGTAGTTTATTTTTACTACGCATGTTTTTTATGCTGTTGTTTACAAAAAATTCGCCAAGGCAGCCGCCCAACGTGAATGTGACCTGTGCGTATGAGTAATATGCGTATGCCATGATCATGCTCATGTGCACAAGTCTGTGGATAGTGGGTAGTGGAAACCCCAGCGGATGCAGCCGCCGATGCAATGGGGTCTAAAAATAACTTCAATTATGATATTTATTATTGCAGCTGCGTTCCAAAGCCGGAGAACCAGATGGACAACTTTAGTAGGAAAGCAGGGGTGGCACGAGGGGCTGAGGGGGACCTTGGAGAATGCAATAAAAGAAAAATCTAAAACTATTAAAACTTCGTTACTTACCGAAATTCGATGCTTGGGTTTTGAGGGGGGTCTCGGCCCCATTATCTCCTTTCGTAGGTACACCACTGCGGGTTTCAATGGATGTGGGGTTTTCTCTTGGAGCAGCTGTGTAGCATACCGTTGCAGCTGCACGAAAAGCTTGGAAATGGAACCGGGAGCTTCAAAGCTGTTAGGCGGCGAGCTTGGCACAAAAATTCCAAATATGAGGCCAAATTGCATAAAAACGCAATTATATCGCTGACCGCGTCCGCATTGCATTTGTGGGGGCCTTATCGCCTTGTTTGTCGTTTATCGTTATTACGGCTTATCAAACAATGTCGAAACATCCACCCTGCCGGTTTTTACTTACTTGAACCGACCGACAGCGATTTACCTCGGCACGTGAAGAAAAATTCCGTTGCTTTTAAGAGGTACAGTGCGCACCCCGGGAAAAGCCAACTTAAAAAATATACCACATGGGCATGCACTTAGATCCCAAAATTCAGCATAGACTTACATATAGACCCAGGAATCGCCAGACATCTGCTTCCGCCCAAGATATACTTGGACTGTGAAAATAATTTAATCTAAGGTGCGTGGGCGACGTAAACCTGGGCACAGAGAGAGTCCAATCCGGTTCCCGTGGCCAGTGAATTTGGAGCGTTGGCACCGGCAGGGAAAAATAACGAAAGATAGAGCCCCGTAAAAAGCCATTTCCCGCCTGCCAAAGTTTGCCTTTCGTATGCAGGCCGGAGCCAAAAGGCAACTAAATAAATAAATAAATACATTCAATTGTTGGCAGCGCGTCACCATTCGGCTGCTTGGCAACAGCGAATGGAAACAAAGGCAGACGGTGAAATGTTGAACAATTAATACCGAAAGCAAGCACAAAATCTGTGCATACTATATTCGACATGCAACCTGTTGTCGCAAGGTGCGATCTTACAAAGTTTATTGCCACGGGGTCTGGAAAGGCGAGACTCTTCCTCTTATGCTTTAAATAAAAATACCTGATATAAATATGTATACGCATACAGACTCTTTCTCCTTACGCCTGAAACATAATACTTACAAGTTTCCAAAATTAAATAAAGCTAAATAAATATTTGGGGAATTCCTCATCCGACCCATGCACGTGAAGTAAGAGCAGCTGTCGTCGTCCATACATTTGTTGCACTATGACAATGTCATTAACTTTCGAAAGTAAAGGCCAGAATCGGCCGCACAGCAAAGCACACCGGCAGATAACAAGCAGGTCGGCGAAAACAACAACTAAACGGTAAGCATATACGTATGCTATATGTGCTTAGTTAAAAATAAAACTATTTAGCCCCTTCGGTGTCGTTGCCGTCGCCAATAGTGACGTTAATTCGCACTGAAATGGCGTTGAAATGCTGAAATGAACAAAGCTGCAATCTCCCTACAGACTAGTAGCAACGATTAGCTGAAATATAGGATATAAAGCAATGGGAGAGCCGTCAGCTGTGGGAAGATCGAACTCACTAATCGCATGCTAATTGATAACAGCCATCGCAATCTGGCAGGTAGAGTCAGGTGCAGCACACCCCGACTCTGATTCAACGATAGAATTCCGGGCAGCTCGATAAAGCAAGTAAATATGCAAAATGAAAACAGTGATAACCGGTTTGAGGCGATGGAAAAACCCTTTCGGGGGGAGTGTTTGTTTGCTATTCTTTACGTCGAAAGTCGTCACATGAACTCAGCCCCTTGGGAGGAGGTGTGATCCGGATTGGTCTAGATATGTGGATGAGATACATCGTGAGCAGCGACTTCTGGCAAGGTTAGCTATAGGACATCATGAAGAACCACTGACACGTCCCTCAGGGTAGTAAACATTTTGATTAGTGTCTTGATTAACAATTGCTTTTATTAATTTTTTATATGTATAAATTTTCTTACTCTTGTTTACCTGCGTAGTGTTAATATATACTCCCATTATGTTGGCATTATTTTCGCAATTTTGCAAAACCAATAAATATAGGTAACAGCGAAATACGATTACTACTAGGGACACTAGCTGTTATTTTCCAACTCCTAGGTTAGCATCAATTTATGTACACATATTTCGTTACTGTTCAAGTCTTTCGATTGGGTTCGGTCTTTGATTTAACTCGTTTTGAAATAGAAATCAACTGTTTAGCTTCTGATTAATTGATGTTATCTATCGCTAGATAAACTATATATATACACATTTTCTGTTCACTTACAAGCAAGGCGAAAGGCACTTGAACAAAGAAACAAATAAACAAACAAGCGACGAGTACGCCCAACTTACTAACATTTGCATAGAGCTATAGCTAGGGCCGATCCGATGCATTTTGTATTTGCGGCTAAGGCTAAACTGCTGCAGTGAAAACTTTAAAACGTGGCAGAGAGCTCTCTATCTCTCTACTCCTATGTACAACTTAGAGGGAACTAGAGCCTCCTGTTGGGGCCTATATAAGGTTATATACAGCGTATTATCGTAGTATAGCAGCCTATCAAACTCGACTAACTCAATGGCATTTATAAATTATAGCTGGGGCGGGTGGTCGTTTCACTCGCAAAATATGCAACTCTGAGATATTCTCCTGTTTTATCTTTTCAATTGACTCTTTTCGCGATTCAAGACAGCTTTTCTAAACACAGACCACGATTAAAGTGTCCCTGGACATGACCGCCCCATTATAAATAACTTAAGGTAAGTATAAAAGGTATATCTTAACTCAGTTGCTCATTTGAAGGCCACCGCTGCTGCGGCTGCCCGTCGACGAGGAGCCCGTGAGTCCGAATTGCGATACTAGCTTGTCGTAGTCCTCCAGCGACGTTTCGAACTGTTCCAATTGCCGGGACAGGTCATCCATGGCGCTGGCGTCGGCGGCACTGGTGGCCACCGATGTGGCTGCTGCTGCTGTAGTTCCACACGCTGGTACAGAGGTACTGGATGGTGGCGTGGTTGCCACCGATGCCACGGAGGAGATCTCCGCTTGCAGCTCATTGAGACCGCGCAATGGTGGCGCGTGGTAGCATTCCCTGTAGAACTTTGCCAGATCATTTACATGCGACGTGGGCGAGGCGAAGGGAAAGTGCAGCTCCTTGAGCAGATTATCATCGTCGGGAGGAGGTTGCAGCGCCGGCTCCGAGTGGTGGCGATAGGCGGAGGAGGCGCTGGCGGGGATCAGTAGGCTCTTGATGGGAGACACAGAGTTTCCCGCGTTCTTTTCGAAGCTCTTAAATCCCGTTGAGTTGTTGTTGAGATTGCTGCTCTGGTTGAAGTTACTGACTTGGTGGTTATTGTTATTATTCGCACTGAGGACACTGGCAGCCACATTATTATCCAAGCGATTAAGGGATTCCACAGAGCCGCGTCCTCGTAGAAGCCATTCAAAAGGCGGCGTTTCGGGTAGAACGAAATCGTCTTCCGTGTATTGCTTTAGCTTTCCCATATCCGTGAACGCTCCCGGACGCAGCGGCTTCTCTATGTCGATGCAGCGTCGGTCAACGCCGGAGCCCATGGCAGGATTCAATGCCAGCTTCTTGACCACGGCAGTGCCATTTGGCAGCTGCTGCTGTTGAAAGCCAGTGGAGCTGGCGTCGGTGGCTGGTCGGAAGTGGTCTGACTTCAGCATGATGGTGTTGCTCTCCGCCTGAGCGGCCGTCGGCGAGATGGTCAGCTTGGTGCGGTAGGCCACAGACATCACCAACGAGCCTACGATCGTGTTCAGCTGCCCGATCTTTACGTGCTTGTGTCCCTCGCCCAGCGTGTGCACCTGGGGCCTGTCCACGTAAATCCGGTAGAAGATGCCATAGGAGTCGGGGCACTGGCGGCGAGACAGCTTGTAGGCAGGCGTGGTGCGGGTGAGCGAGATAAGGGACTTGAGCATGATGCCCATCCTGTTGTAGATGGCGTGGGCCGCCTTGAGTGTCTGTCCCTCAGTATTAGCGGTGGCGGGCTCTGCCTTGGGCTCGCCTGTGGCCGGAGTGGCGCCGTTTGTGCCAGATTGCAGGAGGTCCAGGGACCACACCTCCAGTACCATCTGGTCGCCATCGGAGGTCCTTAGCGAAATCTCCACGCAGAGCGGCAGCCGCTGCAAAATGCTTTCACCCGTCTTGAGGCCCAGCGCCCGCTTGGTTTCGTCCAGCACCTCCGGGTGATCCTGGACGGCGATGTTGAACCAGTCGCTGCCCGCCAGCGGATTGCACTGCGTCTGCATCTTCTCCCCCAGCCGCGACTGCACCACCACCTGGGTGGACTTGAGGACCAGGAACTTTATGAACTTTTCCAGGTCTCGCTCCGCCGCATTCAAGCGCTGAGCAGACATTTTCTTTGTTTTTCCTCCGTATGCTTGTGTATGTGTGTGTGCGAACAAAGTTCGCTGTCACTTCTTCTTCTTCTTTTATTTCCGCGTCTCTTTTTCCGTCGAATTTCGCGTTTTTCCCGTAGCGCACGCGGCGTTCTAGGCACTGCAGAACATAATTATCACTTGCCCGGGCATTTTGCCAAAACACTGTAATTTGCGCAACGATTTCCGTGTTTGTTTTGCTTTTGAAAACAGATCACTCCCACCTTATTAATGAAACTGAAAATCTGAGACTGAGGCACTGCCAACAGGGTTGCCATGCGGGCGCGGTAGCCCAGCGGGGCTGCCAACTTGCTGGGAAGCGTAAACTAGTTCCGTTCGGAACTTGCTACTTTTGTGAATAGGACTGCCACATGATCAAATAATTAACAAAAAAATACATGAAAATGTACACGAGTTCGTTCTTTTTTAACTTATTGTATTTAATTTAATAGTTGTATTTTTTAAGTGTTTGTTTTAGATCATTTCTAATCTAACGCACCACAGAATAATATAATTTTCTGGCTGACTGTGGAACTAGTTTCCAGTCGCCACAGTCTGGCAACATCGCCCAGTCCGCGGTGATACACGTCACGTACGCGGATTTGGGTGGCGGGTGGACGCAGATTTGAAATGTCTGGTTATTACAGGGCCCCAGCACAGGCTACATATCACCGCTACCCATCGCCTGCTGCGAGACGAAGAAGTGCTCGCGATCCGTAGAGGTCAGAACATGCTTCGGCAGGTAACGGAGTACAGGGGCCGGCACCTGGCCCAACATGAGCAACCGCTCCCGCTTGACCCGCTCCTCCAATTCGGCATCGGACTTGGCCTTCATGTCGAAGTACTGCACAGTTTCGGCGGTGGCCTCTGCTCGTTTGCGCTGATTATCCTCCATCATGGCCAGCAGGGTTGCCCCGTGCGCCCTACGCTGGCGGTAGTTCTCCAGTTGTTTCTCGGCCTCCACATGTGTGCCAGACACCTCCTGCTGGCGGGTCTCTATCTCCGCGCGCTTCAGCTGCATCTCCTCCATCTTACGGTGCTCCTGTTCCAAACGATAGCGGTCCATTTCCAGCTTGGTGCGCCGCCGGTACATCTGCTCCTGCTGAATCTGCTGGCGGAAGCGCTCGTCACTCTTGGCCAAGTACTCCGCTTCCAGCAGATCCTGCAAGAGGTTGTCTCGATGGCGCTTCTGGTTCTGCGATTAAAAGGGCGTCAGTGCAGCTAACAGGGATTAAAAGGAAACTGTGGGGCTATATTACCTCGATCTGTTGGACGTGCTCGCCCAAGCGAATGCTGATTTCCTGCTTCTTTCGCTGTACCTGAATGCGTTCTTCCTCCAGCTGCTGCTTCCTGTTTTCGATCTCCGACTGCTTCTCCAGGAGTTTTCCCAGCTCCTGCAGATTCTGGGCCCGTTCCCACTCTCTGTGCTGCTTGTTCTCCTCGATAGACCGCAACATGTCATGGCGTTTCTGCACCTTTCGCTGTTCCAGTTCAATCTGAATGGCGTGATCCTCCTCCTGGATCTGCTTCTGTTTGGCCTGGCTTAGCTCACGGTCGTTCATTCCCTGTGCGTGCTGGCCCTGCCGACGTAAGCGGTTCTCCTCCATTTGGCTGACGAGCGATTCGCGCAGGCAACGCTGCTGCTCCTTGCGGGCCATTTCTTCTTCGCGCCGCTTCGCCTCCAGCAAGCCGCGGTCTTCGGACACCTCCTGTGCCTTAGCCTGTACAGCTAGCTGCCGTGCGCGCTCCCGTTCCGCCAGGTCATCGGCTATCTGCTTCGAAATGGCGGCCAGGCGAAGTTGCTCTGCCAATTCGCGGAGCTCCTCGCAATCCTGCCGCAGCTGCTGACGGCGCTTCTTCTCTACGAACTCTGCGTGCTTTAATAGCTGCATCTCATGTGTCATGGCCGCCCCCTCGAAAGTATCCCGTGTCATCTCCTTAGAGAGTTTCAGACTGTTGATCTTATCCATGTGGTGCTGCATCTCCTGGAACAATTTGCAGCTCTTGATGTCGCGCTCTAAGCGCAGGCTCGGCGGCACCTTGAATTTGGCTTTCCCGATTTCGAACGCACCGAGGTCCCCCTGGCTAACTCGTCCCCTGCTGGTTGCCATGGCGAGGAAAATTAAATATATGGAATTAAAACAGTGGAAGGGAAGACAGGAGTATTACGCAAAACTCAATGACTACTGGTTACATACTATGACTGCGTTGCTAGGCATTAGTTACTCAGGTAGTTCCTAAACTCCTTGTCAACGCATCTCTGTGAGTGGCAAACAGGTAGAACATTCTCATATTTCAAAATTTACATAGTCAAGGGAAATATTTTGAGTTAAAATAAGCAACAAATGCTTTGATGGATAATGTATACTTCGTCATTAAATGACAATTTAGTAATTACTTGAAAATCATAGTACAAGCTTATGGGACATTGTTAAATGCGTAACAATTCAGGTTTCGAAGGCGGTCGGAAAGTACTTCTTGTCCTTTTCCACAATCGACTCCAGCAGGTCGTCAATGTCCGTGGAGGGGTAGCGCTCCACCCAGGACTGGATGTAGCCCTCGTGAGTTGGCTCGTAAGTTTTCAGGTGCACCTTCTGGTCCTTGCCCACCTCAGTGTTGGCCTGCACGAGGATCATGCGCGGCTTCTTGTGCGCCAAACAAATGTCCCGCCACTTGGCCCACGGATGCGACCCGCTCTCGTTCACCTCCGAGTAGTGTTCGTACATCTTGTTGGCCGCCTGGATGTCCGCCGTTGACTTGTAGACTTGGAGTTTTGTAAGGAAGTCCCCTAGAGCCTTCTTTCCCACGGTCTCGATCTTACTGCGATCCACTGTCAGCAGAAGATTTTTTCCGCCCTCGGTTTCCTCAATCTTCACCAGTCCGTCGCCAGCTTCCAGGAGCACCTTCATGATGACGAACCGGGCGCGAGAGTGGGCCTGCAGCCACAGTTTTGACTTGGGGTTGTACATCTCCAGGGCCACGCCCATGCCGTTCCAAATAAGACTCAGCCAGTTAACGTAAATGATGTTGTCCTGCTCCGCCTTATCCTTGAAACCGAAGATCTCCAGAATGTCCCGCTGCAGGGAGAGATATAGTCCCACGGCTTCAGCACGACACTCCTCATACGAAGATCCAATTGCCCCAAACTTCGTGTCGTATGTTTCTCCCGGCTTGTACCACGTCGAGATGCCTTCGCCAGTGATCAAGTTCTCGGTGTTCTCCTTGTCAAAGTTGTAGACTCCCTTCTCGTCGATCCGGAACAGTTTGCCGCTGCCGTGACCCAGGAGTTCGTGGAGACCTACTTGAACCTCGAAGGCCTTCACCTTGTACTCCTTCATCAAGGTCTGGTCTTCTTCGGTCAGGAAGGGAATGGGGTCCTTGCGGTTGATGTTGGCCAGCACATTGCCCAGTGAGACGTTCTTAAAGCCCTCGTCCTGGCGGATTTCGTCGTCTGTATGAAAAATATTCATTTAGTAAAATATTCCGATAGAGGGAGATCCATCTTACAGTTGGGAATATTGATGCCGGCGGGCACTCCGCTGCCGGCGAAGGTAAGCACATCGAGGGAGGTAAAGTCCGGCTTCAGGTAGGAGTCCTTCTCGTACGGCTTCGTCCAGGGTAGGTACTCCACCAGTTTCTCGGCGCGATTCACAAGCTCGGAGAACTTAGCTGAGCTCTCCTTGTTCACCATGGCCACAAAGCCTTCAAACTCGGCGCGACCTCCAGCCGGATCCCTGTAGGTTTCGATGAAGCCAATGTAGGTCTCAATAACGGGTCCCTTGTCCTTGATCCACCAGCGGGATCCGTCCTTGTGCTCGGCAAGCGAGCCCTGCTCAAAGGACCGAACGTAGTGCTCGATCATCTTGGACTCATTTTCGTTGGCCGCGTACTTCTGGGCCTCCAAAAGGTGCATGTTGACGCGCTGCAGGAGCTTTCGGTAGTCACCACGGGTTACGCGGAACTTGTTGCCGTTGAACTCCTCCAGAGGCAGTGTGATCCCGTCCTGCGGGGACTCCGCCACCGACCCCAACTTGACATCGTAGATGGTTTGACCATTTTCCAGCACCTTGAACGTGCGGCACATGTAGGGTTCGATGCGCTTGGAGGTTAGCCACTTGTTGACAATCTCAGAATCCTCCTTGGTGCAGTTATCTGACCAGTATGTGGTTATTCCATCGGGAGCGAATCCCAGTATTTCGTTTCGCGACTCCAATGCATACACCAAATCCTTGACTTTCTCGAAGATCTTGCCCACGCGTGGCTCGGTGGCGTAGGCAGCGGAGGAGCGTACAATAGCTTCGAACTTCGCCTCGGGCAGATTGGGCACGATCTTGCTATCGCCCATTCCCTTGTAGTTGCCCGCGTTGGCGAACACGCCGCACGCATAGACCAGGAAGCCCGTATACTCATCGACGCTGACTCCTGCTTCAAGAGCCTTAACCCTGAGCTCCGCCGGCTTCTCTGCCACAAAGATGCGGTGCAGCAGGGAGAATACAAGTGGCGCCTCAGGGCTTGACTGGATGACAGCGATGAGGCCTCCGTCCCAGGAAGCCTTGCTGAAGTGGTGGGCATAGAGCTTCTCCTTCTCGGTCAGGTTCTCGAAGGCGCTCTTGCAGTCCAGATCGGCGATGGGCTGCGTGTTGGGCAGGACGAAGTGGGCGGTCTTACTAGCCATGTCAGCGGGCTGGGGTATATTCGCGCTGCAACTGCAATGACAGAGGATTGGCGGGGGTTAGCCAAGGCTATCTGGATAACAGAGATAACGCCTGCCAAATACCTGTAGCGGATGGACAGTGGTCTAAGTCGGAGGGAGCTACAAACGCCGGACGAGTCTCTGAAGAATCGCGGAGTGCTCGGCCCAGAGAGAGTGAGAGTTCTCCCGGAATAAACTCTGTTACAGCGGACTTGGCAGAGCCTGCTGTTCAGATGCTGCCGGCACCTCTGTACGGATTTAAGCCAAAACATGACTGAGGCAATTTCGAAATGGGCCAACTTTTCTGTGAGAGATTACATTACTCGTCGCCCAAACTGGAAAATGTAAAATGCTACGCTTTATAACAATTTTGGAAGAAAAACCAAAAGGCTGGCTGAGGGCAGTAAACGTAATAGAAAACTGATGACGGATGCACTTTCTTCTATGGGCTGTCCCACAAACCAGCAGATGTGGCAGTAAGCGGGCGTAAACCAACAAAAATATGTAGTTTAAATCAGAGCCGGCTAAAATGGACACCGCATGGATGACAAGGCAGGAAGCCCCTGCTCACACGGAGCAAGGTTGATGGATGCTGAACAACAACGTGCTGGTTAGTCTATCGCAAAACAAAACACTTCGTCGACTAGCTTTTGGGGTCCGAAACACCTACCAGGTCGAGCTCCGTCCTTACGTACCTCGGAAAAGAAGAACTGAAGAAATAAAAGGATTCCGCCGACAGATTTTTGCAAGTTGTACAGGTGCAGGGAGTGTGACCAGTCCAGGATGTGACCAGTCACGGATTCCGAGCCCATGGCGATGATAACGATAGTTTAGTTTTAGTTTATCGATGGTAAACGATAGCCCGCCGAATTCAAACGGTAAAATATACTTTGGACTTGCGCTCTAAACTTAATTTGTTATACCGCTTTCAGGGTATAGCTGAAGTCATAAACTGGCAATTCAGTGAAGGAGTCATTTTCGAGCCTATAAATCATATATATTATTGATCAGCACTACAAGCCAAGTCTTTCCAGCCATGTCTGGCGGAAAAAAAAATTTTACAATTTTTCCAAAATTTTATAAGAGGTTACATCGTGAAAATTGTGAAAAAATTAAAATTTTTTCAAATTTAAATTCGGTATGCAGATTTTTTAAGCTAATAAAAACTAACATACCACGGTCTTCCGAATTAAAATTAAGGCTTTTTTGAGTTACATTTTCCAACCTCCTCAAATAAACTTACAGAAAATATCAGAGCTGAGATTTGTCAGTTTATAAACTGAAAAGCTTATTTCTGAAATTCAGTTTGCAACTTATTCTGTTAGCATTATTGAAAGTCTCCATCACAAAAAACTTTATGGTCTAACAAACATATATGTATTTATTTAATTCAATAAGTGCTGCATACGTATAAGTATTGGAATATAACTGAAATATCATTGTGGCAAGATCTCCAGAACGCAGAATAATAAGAAAACCTAATTTGAAACAAATAAACAAAAGATAATAAACTCGCTCCAAAACAAACTTTAAAGTTAATGAAAGGGAAGAAAAGGAAAAATTAGAAAAACAATTCAATAATTCAATAAAACGTAAAAGACAAACAAAAATTGATAAACCCTGTTCAGAAATAATTTGGAAAAATAACTATAATCTAAAGAAAAGAATAATATGCGTAGAAATCCTCGCTTTTCGCCTTCTCTTCTTTTAAATACTAGGTTTCCATTTGCATTTGGGCTCAAAACTTGCGGGCAAAGGCCTGTTCCTTGAAGCGAAGCGCCGACTGCATAGCTGGGTTTTGGGCTTTCTGCTTGACTCGCTTCTTTGAGTGCCCAGGGGAAGCTGGCCTCTCTTGGAATCCTTGGTTTCTCGGAGTAGCCGGCGTATCGCGAAAGTATTTCTGCTTCGGTGTTGCCGGCTCCACACGCATTATGCCGGAGCTGGTTTTAATTAGCTCAATAATTGGTGCTCTCGGCGGAGAATCGATCCTGGATACTGTCACAAAGCCGGCATTCGTGCGGAAACGATTGCCTCGCACGACATGGTTTTCCTCATCGGAACTCTTTAAAGGGGACTCTGCCAACTTCTGCTTTTTGGTTTTCTTCAGCTTTTTGCTGTCCTTCTTGGCCTCTATGGGCGGCTGCGGCGATAGTTTACGTGCCAGAGAACGTGGCTGCGGAGGAGCAAGGAATTAGTCTAATTCCTTTAAGGATCTTGGCCAAACTCACCTCTTTGCCGGCGATTTTGGCCGGCGCCAGGAGGTTAACAGCATGCCCCACAGCCTGGCGAGCTGCCTGCAGGCGCTTCAAATCCTTCTTAGGGGGAGGAGGGGTTGGCTTAGCATCGTGTTTCCCCGCCTGCACTGTGGATATGGCCAGTGAAGGCTTAGAAGTTGGTTTTCCCGTCTGGAGTGGCAAAACTGACATCACTTGATCGGATTTGCCAGCCGCAGACGCAGCTGGTCGCTTTTGCTTCTTTTGCTTCTTTCCTGCGGCAACGTCCTTGAAAAAATGATTTAGATATAACACCAATTCATCTTAGTTTACACTTGTTCATTAACTCACCTCTTGTTTCTTCCTCCTTAAGGCTTCATTGGCCTTCTGGAGGACGCTGTTGCAGTATTCTAGGTAATATTCAGCAGTCCTGGGCTCACTGGAGGGCTCAAGCTTTCCTTTGGTTGCCGATGCTTTAATAGAAGGAATAGTCTTAACACCAGCTGCCTCCGCCTCCCATATCGGATTGGGTTGTTCCTTGGACCGTGAATTATCCAACGAAGTTTCCTTTGCTGGTGATTTTTTCAAAGAAACATTTTCCATCTTGTCATCAGGGATTGCTTCTGGAATGGTTTCAGTCTGCATCGGCTCTTCTGCGTTGTCTGATTCCTGGAAAACATCTTGTTCAGATGTCTCGATCTCAGCAGAATGTTCCACGGGAGCCGCCTCAACTTTGGGATCATCGTCATCCTCCAAGGACTCTGAGGAATCCCCTCTTGAGCTTTTCAGGCGCTTTCGCTCATGATGAATTCCGCTCATTTCTTCTAGATCTTCGGCAGCGCCTGAAAAGCTCTTTGAGAGGCGTTTGCGCTTGTTTATGATCCGCTTGTGTTCGGCCATCATATTCACAAAGGATTGTGAGGGACTGCCAACCAGAGCACAGGTACTGCGGCGCTTCAGCTTGGGCTCTTTGGCTGCCACTTCATGACCGGGCATGATCAAGGACTGGCGACGAGACTTCTGGAGAGGATTGAACATGGTCTCAAGGTGACGCAGATCACTGGAAGCTAACTCTGCAAGCAGAGCTTCCTCATCCGCAGATTTCGATGATTTTTGTGTCTGAAAGGAGGTGGACTTTTCCACAGTCTCCTCCTCTGCTGCCCTCTCATTTTTAGTTTCAGGTGCAGCTTCATGTTCTTCGCCCTCGCCTTCGTCTTTGTCGTCAACGGGGCCCTCCTTGTCGTCCTCGGAGTCCATGATCTCAACTACACTCCTATTTCCCTTATTTGCCTGGTCCTCATCCTCCTCCTGTTCCTCTTCCTCTTGATCAGTGGAATCCAGCTCCAATACGCTAGCGTCCAGGCGCGTGGCTGTCTTGTTGAACCTCTCCGACTTGTTTAGTTCGTTAAGTGCCACGATTCGCGAGTTCTCCAGTTCGGTTTCAGAGTGGGAAGTCTTCTCCGTGCTGGCGTTCAACATTTGGGCAGCTTCGCTCAGTTTGCTGGCATCGGACGAGAAGTTGCTCTGGTCCTTGGACTTGGCCAATTGGCTCATGTTCTGGTCCTTGCCCTGGTTTTCATCGTCACTAGACTCCGCCACTAAAATTCGACGACGTTTCTTTTTGTCCCTCGATTCGAAATGTTCCGCCTCATCCTCCTCGTTGGTGGAGTAGCACAGTGGGTCCAAATCCTCCTCCACATCGTCGTCCGGAACGATAAAGGAATCACTCGATTCATGTATATCACCAACAGAATCGTCTTCGGTGTCCTGGCTTCCCACTGATTCCCCGTCGCTGTGAATTTCATTTTCCTCAATCTCTCGACGATCCGTAGAGTCCATGGAGTCTCCTGACACGTAATGAGCAGGCGCCTCCTCCGCTTCGTTATCAACGAACTCGCAGTCATCGCCCTCCTCCTCTTCGCCACCACTTTCTTCCGGCTCCTCATCGCTATTCAGGAGAGCGAGGATTGCGGTCATAGACTTCTTTGGCGACATGTTTGCTGGCCTCACCAGTGAGGATTCCTTCTCTTTCTCCAGCTCATCGAAAGGCTTGATTGCGTCTATTTGAAGCGGCGGTGGCTGCAGCTTTGGCTTGCCATGAGCCAACTGTGACTCTTGGCTCTTGAGCAAGGGCGTGGAGCTATTTCGCCTCGGTTCCAGGTCAGTCTTTAATGGCTGCGGGGTAAAGCTTATAATAGATGGGGCTTTCTCGCGGCCCGGGGTCTTGGGAAATCGTTTCTTTTCAACGTCGGCCTCCTCTGTGTCGCTGTTAAAGCCCACGACTTTCTTGTTGATGCCAGTAAAAGGATCCAGATATGTTGAAGTAATGACCGAATTCTCCCTATCTAGAACATCTATTTCCTCATCTACATCAATAGGGGTCTCCAGAGGCTTAGTTTCCTCCGCAATGAGTTCTTCGGGAGTTTCAATAGGGGCCTCTTTGCGTTTCGGACTCTCCTGACGCATGATTGCCTCTTCTGGCTCAGGAATATCTGGCTTCGGCATAACCTGCTGCTCAACTTTGGAACCCTGGTCCAGTTCAATAGTTACCTCTTTGAGTTTTGGGCTCTCCTGACGCGTGATTTCCTCTTTTGGCTTCGGCATAACCCTCTGATCAACTATGGAACCCTGTTCCAGTTTTTGACTCTCCTGAAGCATGATTTTCGCTTCCGGCTCAGCAATATCTGGCTTCGGCATAACCTGCTGCTCACCTTTGGAACGCTGTTCCATCTCAGACACTCGGTCATCTTTTTGCGGCTCATCTTCTGGCAGCGATTCTTCTGCATCTAAGAACTCTTGCTCTTCCAGGGAATCATTATTTTTAGGAGCCCGGACCGGCAAATGTGCTGGTACTGGTTGCATTTCCATTTTGTTATCTGATGCATCAAAGAATTCAAAAACTGTTTTTGGGTCGGTTGAGGGAATGGACGCCTGGCTTTCGTTGTTAATGCTCGGCAGGGCCTGGGATTTTTCAGAATCCAGAATCGGTACGGACTCTGTGGGATCATCATTTGTTCCTTCGACCACCAACGAGTTCATAGGGGATGATCTTGCCTTTTGTTTGATTTCCTCGGCCAAAACCATGTCACTTCTGCCATGTTCAGTCAATTTTAGCTTCTCAAGCCTCACAGACACCTTAGGTGTGTATGGTTTAATCGAATCTGCCGCCATTACTTCCTGAACCAACACTTGTGGCTTGTCCACACTCTCCAGCTTCCGCTTTGGATTATCTTCTGGGAAAGCGATCAGATCGGGTTGCGACGAGGGTCGGGTAACGCTGGGCGGTGTCTGCGACATGGAGCGTGTCACTCTCTTCTCGCCAGCGGGCGGGGGCGTGTTCGTTCGCGAGCTCGGCTTCTCCGCCTGCTTTACTTCAACTTCCTCCTCCTCTTTGAGCGTCAATTGTTGGCGCACTGATTTGGTTTTGGCCGGAGTGCGAGCAGTCCTCTTCACGGAGGAGGGTGTGGTGGGCTCTGGGGTCTCGCCACGGGCCAGAGAGGCGCGTGTGGGCCGAGTAGGAGTCCTAACGTCCAATGTGACAGAGTTCAGACGCGTGCGGCGAGTGGGGCGCGGTGAAGCTGTGCCTAGTAAACGAGTAAATGGGATTAGGAGCTGCTGCATTTTCTTCTTTAGGGATTTCACCAAAACTCACCCCGATCCGAGGCAGTGTCCAGCTGCGGCGTTCCAGGCCGACTGTCTGTGTCCAGCAGGGACATCCGGCGCGTGCGAGCCCGTGTCACTACAGAAAAACGAGCAATTAAGCAGAGGAAGAAGCGGAGCACGCAGGCAAATGGCCGGCATCGGCGTACTTATGTACATATTATGTACATATGTATTTTGTAGATCCCGTTACTTGAATCTCGGCGTTTGCCGTAGACCCCACCTCCCACACACACATAGCTGTATATAACAAAGTCACTTACATCGTTAGCTGGATGCAAATGCCAGGGAAATTAAGTTAAATGTCTTAAATTTGGGCACTACATATGTATGTAAATATGTACGCATGTACATAGATCCCGTTGCTTTTTACGGTCGAGCCTAGGATTCACGCTTGATCCACATATAACCACTCACCACGCTGTCCCTGAACCTCCGTGTTCTCCGAATTCTCCTCCATTTGGCTCCGCTTTGACGTGCTCAGAATACAATCAGCTAATTTAAATTGTGGAAACTTCTCGTCCTGCAAGGAAATGAGTTGAACCGAGAATCAAAGGCGGAGGCAGTGAAATCGACATGTGCCCAACTGCATGTTTTCCAGCACTGGTCCGCTGTTGCGCTTTTTCTTGGCGGCACCACGGCGACCGTTAAAGTTCAAATGTTGGTCTCCTTTGTACAGAACTCTAAGCAAATAGGGATTAATCAATGGTATTCTGGACAACATGTTCATTTCGCCCGCTCGTCCCCTGCATTTCGATGGATTTATTATAATTCTCAGTAAATAATTATATTGATTATGGCGCTTTTCAACACTGGCCCTTTTATCTGCGTACAATGGGCCGTTACCTTCAAACCGGATTTAGCGCCGATTTCTAAAGTGAACCAAACAATAGCTTCCATTTATGGCACAAAAAAGTGGCAAATTAATCTAATTTATAATGCATTTCGAAATAATTTAAAAACAAAAGTAAATAGAGCGATTTTTATTTCAAATCATATTTTGTTTGGCGAGCTCCGGATTAAATTGGCTATTGTATTTCTGTACGATTCTAGGCGTTGGAGCTGGTGTAGATGCTGCACTGGGTGCCGCCGCCGCTTCTTTGGGAGCGAAAAGAGCCTCAGAGCGCTGGCGCTCGGCTGCCTCTCTTCGCAGTCGCTCCTTCCTCAACATCTCCAGCTTCTCGCGTTTGCAGCGCTCTGCTTCCTTAGTTTCCTCGGCCTCCGATACGCGACTTAAGCTGTTTTGTTTTTTGTCCTTCCTCTCGGTCGACTTAGGTTGCTTCCTTTTCTTCTGCTTATTGACCTTATGGGAGGAGGCCGAGGTGGGTGTGGGTGGTGGTGGCTGAGGAGAGGGAGTCCTTTCACGTTTTCTTTTGTTCGTCCTTCTTGGTTCTTTTTTTGTGGGCGGAAGAAGAGCATTGATCAAGGTGAGGGGATCGTGAGCCAACTTCTGCTTCAGATGGCTCTCAGCGGCACTGGTATTACCCACGTCTGTCCTCTTGGGAGCCACCTCATACCAGCTGCGCACTTTCAGAGCCTCATTGGTATCCTGGCCTAGATAGGTGAGGTAGCCGACCTGCTTCTCGTACTTCTCCTGCTCCTCCTTCTGCTCCTTCTCCAAATCCTTGTTGGTCGTCTTTACGTGGCTCCTGTAATCCGCAAAGAGGTCCACTCCCGTGGTTTGTCCAGCGTTGGCATCGTGATTCTGGGGGGCGGAAGCCTGCGCGGCCGAGACCTTTTCCGGGAGCCCCGACTGGCGGCGCAGAAAGTTTATGCGGGCCTCGCTTTCCTGTACAGAAGATATGGTGATAGACAATGGAAGATACACACATTTTTTGTTGTTCTTACAGCAAATTCCAACTTGTCCTGTCGTATCTTCTCCTCGGCTGCGGCTGCTGCCTGATCCCGGCGCACGCGGGCAATGTTATCCTTGGTACGCACATGCCAGCTACAAGAGGAGCGAAGTCAGAACAACTTCAGTTACTTAAAATTAATCCACTCACCGTTTTTTTGGTAAAATATTCATTTTTCCAATAAAAGCCAATAGGGATGTGCAAAAATAAATATATATATCGACTTATCGATATTAAAATGCCTTTTTTAACTATCGCATTCTCTGTATTATTTAAACTATTTGGGATTTTTTAGGGGAAAGGCCAATTTTTTATCTGACAACACTGATACACAATACACAATGTTTTTAACGAGGGGAGGAAATTTTTGCTGTTTTTGTGCAATTTAAAGAAGCGGAGGCCAAACATTTGTTGACTCGCGGACTCTGTATCTGTAGCCCCTCCGTTTCCACTGGTTGAAGTCAAACAGTCCCGCATAAGGAGCTGGCGCCCAGGCAAACACATTCACAAACACATCCGCAGAAATAGCTCCCCAGCGACAGCTTGCAACTGTTTTGGAGTAGCCAAAATAAAACGCAGCAGCAGTGCAGCCGATCCGCTTTGAGGTAACTCTTAGAGGCTATTAAAAACCCGCCTGTGTGAATATGTCTAACAAGAGCGTTTGTTGTGCTTTTCTCGTTTCTCGATCAAAGGGAGCAGGTCTCATTGTTCTGCCCTGGTGACATCGTTTGCCCGGCAGCGGCAGCTGTGCTAAAAATGGAGTGGACGCGAGAGAAGACGTTGCTGCTGATCAGTGAGTACCGCTCCCGTCGCGGTCTGTGGGACATGACGTGCGACGAGTACCGAAAGAAGGACGTGAAGCAGCGGCTCTTGAACGAAGTCAGCCAGGTTCTCGGCGGGAATATTCCGGTGAACGAGCTAGAAAAGAAGTTCCACACGCTGCGAACGCAGTACCACCGGGAGATCAGTCGCATGAAGCGCAAGGAGCCGTACAACTCCAAGTGGTTCGGTTTCAAAAACCTGGTATTCCTTAGCTCTCCTTACGCCTGTCGGTCCACAAAAGGTCGATTAAAACCCGATCTGCAGGGCGACGAAAGAAAGTTCGTTGTAGGAGAGGTGAACGCGGAGAACCACAGCGAAAGGAGCACTCCGGTGAACAACGGAAACAGCGGGGGCAATAGCAACAGCAACATGAACGAAGAGTATTTGCGAAAGAGTCACGCTAGCAGCCGGGCCCAGGAGCTGGAGAAACTGATTGAAGAGACAACCAAAGACGTCGATGACATCGAGGAGCAGGAGATGGACGATGCGGAATCCAAGCCGAAGCTGGGAAAGGAGCTGAACGTGCGGTACGTTAGCATAGGTGAGCAGGAAGAAGCGGAACCATTGGAAAATCCCCATCACCAGCATCAGCAGTCGCTCATCGACATGCACCACTCGGCCAATGCCATGGAGGCCGTGAGCTTCCAGGCGAGTGAGAGTGGAGAGCTTCACTACCAGTCAACGCCAGCCCAGAGTGGTGCTAACAACTCAATGCACGTTGTACCCACACGCATTATTAAAATCCAAAGGCGCGATACCTCTTGTCACGAGGATGGCTATTTCGACGAGCACACACACCATCAACTGCATCCGCCGACGCCCAAGCGTGTGTACTATGATGCCGGCTCAACGCCCCACATCCTAACCCCTGCATTGGAGAACAGCTCGAATGGAACCAGCAGTAGTGTGCTGGCTGCCTCACCTGGGATAACGATGAGCAATCTGCGATTACCCAAACTCAACACATCCTCATCCCCCAAGCCAGCCAGTGCGGTCATTCCCAGTCCACCCTCGCCCACGGTTGTCAGTCTGCCGCCGTCCCGCGATGAGTTTGCCACGTACGGGGAATATGTGGCCAACGAGATGCGGGCTATTGGCAACCGGGAAGTGCTTATCGCTCTCAAGCACAAAATCAACACGGCCATCTTTGAGGCCAACATGGCCGAACTGCAGAAATAGGCAGCTGTGGCACACGATTATTTTAGCTCGGGCTATTAAATACAACTTAAGGTTTAAACATGTACGTCTACCCTTGCGATGTCCTCTTGTCTTTTATTGTGCTCATTCTCATTTAATTGTGTACATTTAACGGAATTGTAACAGTCTAAATACTTAAGCCAAATATACGTTTTAATGGTATTATACACGTGTACATATGTACATGTCAGTCGCCGGCAGCAGGCAGGTCCCCTTCTGTCCTCATTTTATTCGTGTGTTGTTTAAATTAATTTTGGTATTCCGGATCGGCCAAGATGTCGCGTACCATTTGCGATCCGTTCACAAACCTTCCAGTAAAGTTCGACATAAGGCAGCTGATGAGAGAGTTTCAGCCTGAGGTGGATGGGGGACAGGTGGACGAGGACAAGACGCCCCGCGATTTTCTACACCGACCCGATGAGAACTGGGCAGTCCTTCCTAGCTTTAAGTACCAGTTGGAGCACCTAGCACCGTATCTCTCTTGTCGCAGTAACCCCTATATGCGCTGCCGTTACCGGAAATTTCTGGACAATGTCCCAAGCAGCTACGTAACAATTTCTGTATACGGTTCCAATATAAGCAAGTAAGTTTTTTTAAGTGAGTTAAATTTGTTTTGACTTATTTATGATATTTTTCAATAATATAAAAATATGAAAAAATGTTAATTTAAAGAATTCAAATATTTTTGGTCTTCTTGAGGGTTATTATGATTTTAGTCTGTGAGGAGTCAATTGCGACCCCATAAACCATATATATTATTGATCAGCAATAACAGGCGCTTCTTTCTAACCATATCTGGAAGAAAACAATTTTTTCAAATTTTTTTTCTCAAAATGTTATAAGGGGTTACACTGTCAAAATTTTCCAAAAATTAAAAAAAAATATTTCCAAAAATCTAAAATTCAGTATGCAGACTTATTAATTTACAAAAAAACTAGCATAGAAAAGCTTTCCGAATTCAAATCGATTATTTTTTGGCTTTGTTATGATCTATTCTTGATTTGATCAAGACCCTATGGCAAACTGATGGCAAATTTCGGTTTCCCGAATTTAGTTTCCTTTCTTGTTAAGGCTTTAATTTTCCAAACATTTTTTTTAGCATGCCCAAGCCAAGACGAAAGAGTTTAAATGGACAGTTTTACGGCGTGGACAACAAGTTGGCACCTATTCCCGCCGTCGCAGACCCCCGGTCTCCACCTCATCGCAACTGATTTAATTTCGAACTAAATATCATTAAAAATTTCAAGAATAAATATTAACAAATTTTTTTGAAGCAGAAGAATACGTTTAAATGTGCGCGGTACCTCTGTCAAGTTACCACCCTGCATCAATCCCAGAAAACCTCCCCCATTTCAATTGAAGGGACGAGAATTTCCCGGAAAATGCCATCGGCCACGCTAGCAACGAAAAATCGATAATGTTGAAATTGCGGGCGAAAAATGTTTACAAAATGCGTTAGTAGCTGTGGCATAGCGATAATTTTGGGTTTCCTCACCTGCCTTTGGGTAGAAAATTGCGGTGAGCATTACCTGGTCAAAATTATAGTATGGAACCTCCAAATTCTAAATTCATTTGATTTATTTAGTTGCCTTGCAAAGGACTCTGCGCCACTACGAGGTATTTCACAAGGATGATGTGCTGCACAGAGTGGTCAAACGGGGAGCCAAGCACAGCACGAACCCCTTCAATGTGATCAAGGAGGTCGAGTTCACTACATTGGGAAAGAACTTCCGCCTGATCCTGCATCCGCACAGGGATGTGCTGCATAGTAAATTCCGGGCCTACGCTGTAGATGCGGATGGCAATGAAACCGTGGTGCATATGGGTAAGATTTAGATAGCCATCCCTGATCCTATAGCACTGAAGGTCTCTCCCATAGATCACGACAGTTTCTATACGGGTCGGGTTTTTGGTGAACTGGAGTCCTCAGTGCGGGCTCATATTGAAGACGGCACCATGACCATGTCCATCCACCTACCGGAGGAGACTTATCACATTGAGCCTTCCTGGAGGCACCTGCCAGACGCCAAAAAAGACACCATGGTGGCCTACAAGTCCTCAGACGTGAAGCTGCACAAAACTGATGCCGGAGCCGTCCCGAAAACCTGTGGCTATATAAAGGAGGGTCTCGAATTGGAGGACAAGGAAAGTGGAGACGAATTGGACAATGAGCTGCATTCGCGGGAGAAGCGCCAGTCGGACCAGTATGAATACACACCCACCAAGACTCGATGTCCCCTGCTCTTAGTGGCAGACTATAGGTTCTTCCAAGAAATGGGCGGAGGCAACACGAAAACCACGATTAACTACTTGGTAAGCGTGCCTAAGCAATTCACTTTCACAGTTCCTAATACTCCGGAAATCCCCCAGATTAGTCTCATCGATCGGGTGCACAAGATCTACAACGACACGGTTTGGCAGGACCGCTCTGATCAGGAGGGTTTTAAAGGCATGGGCTTTGTGATCAAGAAGATTGTGGTGCACTCGGAACCCACGAGACTACGAGGAGGCGAGGCCCACTACAATATGATTCGCGAGAAGTGGGATGTGCGCAACCTGCTGGAGGTGAGTCTTGCTACGTGCCGCCACCCATTGGTCGTGTAGCTGCTGATCCTCATTATCTCACTATGATTAACTTTTGTCTTGTGCTCTCTCTCTCTCTCTCACTTTGATTCCGATCCTCCATGGCTCCATTTACCCGTTAGGTCTTCTCCCGGGAGTATAGCCACAAAGACTTTTGTCTAGCCCATCTTTTTACCGATCTCAAGTTTGAAGGCGGCATTTTAGGCTTAGCTTATGTTGGGTCCCCGCGCCGCAACTCCGTTGGCGGCATATGTACTCCAGGTTGCTAACTCCAGAAACTCAATTTTTTCATTTCGCTTTAACTTTTCCCCAATTTTGTTGATTTGTAAAGCTCAACATAAGCCCTAACGGAAACTAACTTTTTTATATAATTTCCCAATCCTAAAGAGTACTTCAAAAATGGCTACACCCTGTACTTAAACTCTGGGCTGAGCAGCTCCCGCAACCATTACGGACAGCGGGTTATTACTCGCGAGGCGGATCTGGTGACAGCTCATGAGTTCGGACACAACTGGGGCTCGGAGCACGATCCCGACATTCCCGAGTGCTCGCCCAGCGCCTCGCAGGGCGGCAGCTTCCTCATGTACACCTATTCCGTTAGCGGTTACGACGTGAATAACAAGGTAAATATTAAAGGTAGACTGATGTCCGAGGACGTTTATAAATGGTTTCTCATTTATCCTAGAAATTCTCACCGTGCTCGCTTCGCTCCATCCGCAAAGTTCTTCAAGCGAAGTCGGGCAGGTGTTTCTCGGAGCCGGAGGAGTCCTTCTGCGGCAACCTGCGCGTTGAGGGCGATGAACAGTGCGATGCCGGGCTGCTTGGCACGGAGGACAACGACTCGTGCTGCGACAAAAACTGCAAGCTGCGCAGAACCCAGGGCGCAATGTGCAGCGACAAGAATTCACCGTGTTGCCAGAATTGCCAGTTCATGGCTTCCGGGATGAAGTGCCGCGACGCGCAGTATGCGACCTGCGAACAGGAGGCCCGTTGTACTGGAGCCCATGCCGAGTGCCCCAAGTCGCCGGCCATGGCTGACGGAACAACCTGTCAGGAACGCGGGCAGTGCCGGATTGGAAAATGCGTGCCATACTGTGAAACCCAGGGCCTGCAGAGCTGCATGTGCGATATAATCGCGGATGCCTGTAAGCGCTGCTGTCGGATGAGCATCAACGAGACGTGCTTCCCTGTTGAGCCACCGGATGTCCTTCCGGATGGCACGCCTTGCATAACTGGATTCTGTAATAAGGTTGGCGCATGGAATAGCCACACTGAAATGTTATTAAAGTTACAATTTCACTTCCAGGGAGTGTGTGAGAAGACCATACAAGACGTCGTTGAGCGCTTCTGGGATATTATAGAGGAGATAAATGTGGCCAAGACTCTACGGTTTTTGAAGGATAATATTGTCAGTAAGTACGACAAATAATTCTCAATTAATTCTTAATTAAACAAACAAAACCTAGCTTCAGGACTTGAAACAAAAGGCAAACAGTATTTTCCTGTAACAAGAATGTAATAAAACCAAATGATCAAAATATACAAATTTTTAAATGCTCTTTTCAGTGGCCGTGGTGCTCGTCACCGCAGTTTTTTGGATTCCCATAAGCTGTGTTATATCTTACTTTGATCGCAAAAAGCTCCGTCACGAAATGAAGCTAATCGAGTGGAGCCAGAAGCTGGACCTCATTCATCCGAGCGACGAGAGGCGTCGTGTCATACACATACGGTAAGCTTAGACAGGTATTAATAGCTTTGCACAAGCACTAACCCATTATACTTTCAGAGTGCCGCGACAGAAAATTTCAGTGGCGCGAGCTTGCAACTAGCGTGGAATAAATCGGCTCGCCTTTGGGTCCTCTTCCATGAGCCTGGTTCTCAAAACATTCACAAATTACACTAAAGAATAAAATTACGTATAGTATAGTCCCAAATGTCAAACCAACTTAGTCCTGCGTAGCATTTTTAGTATCTGCGGCGTTGGTTTTTTTTTTATTCTCTTTTATAATTTTGTTTTCTTACTTGGTAGTTTAGTGTGGTTTTACTTCTTTTTATTGCTCTTCCCGTTTGTCTGAGGGGCGGCCTCTTCATCAAATTCCACTTCGCTCTCCTCATCCTCATCTGAATACTCTTCTCCGTATATTTGGCCGTCGTCAAACTCGCCAAAGTTCATCTCCGCCTGAAATGGTAAAAGTTGCAGCACGAGAAGTACTCGAAAGAACAATGGAACCTACCTTGCCGCATACGTAGACGGGTCCAGTGCCCTGCACCAGCTTAAAAGTCACAGATCCGTTGGGGAATTCAACGTTTGGTCTTAAGCTACGGGTCTCTCCGACCTTCAGAACGGCAATGGGAATCTTTACTGTCTTCTTTTCGCCATCGTCGTTCACGTTTGTCTCTGCCTACGAAAAATATAATTTAATTAATTCATCTCAATTACAAGACTAATTACAATATAAGGTGAAACGACTTAGAATCCGGTGGTCAGGTATTGCTTCTTCCGATATACATACATATATAACAAGATCGATAGAAAGGAGGTTATTTGCATTGATTCATGAAGAATGCAAACTCAGAGAGGCTTAGAAGCGGAAAAACGGACATGGTTAGATCCGGCTGTTTATACTAATCACAAATATATATACTTGATTGGCCGCATATGTCTCCGTTGCAATCTTCTGTCTATAATTACAATACCCTTGCAAAAAGATACCCTTGCATGAAAAACACTTGAAAACAAGACTCACCTGGACAACGTTGAACTCGCCGGTCTTTGCCTCAGAACCGAGAGAGATCTGTTTTATGATGAGCTTGTGGGAATGGACGATATACTCCTCTGGTATATCTGGCACGTCGAACTGTGCGATGGGCTCTTTCTCGCTGAGAGTAACACCTGGAAGGCGGAGAAGCGGGACAAGGGTTGAACTAAAGCTACATATATGTATGTATGTACGATTTTTTGCCGGCCGGAGGAGCACCCCAAAGAAACCTGTGCACCACGCCTGCCGGGCACGGTTGTAGTTGCTCCCCATCGTGTGGCTATCAAGTCTTACCATAAAACGACTCGGACTCCATTTTTAAGCCTTAAACAGCTACGTACAGTCAATTAATTATGGAAATGAAATTTTTTGTACTCTACACGTGCCCGTAAAACAGCGATGCGAAGCGGAGCTGCAAAAATATATCGATGCATCGATAAATCGATTCGTTTTCTTTTGGTGGCGATTCAGTATTTTTTAGCGGGAAATTTGATCGATTCGTTTTCACTGGTGGCGATTCAGTATTTTTTAGCGGGAAATTTTATCTTTCTGAGATTTTTTAGTACAAAGCCAAATTGCATCTGGTTACACTCCCATCTACCATTTTGCAAAGTTTTGCTCAACACGTGTTCGCCGCTTGTTTCGTGAATTAATATTGATAAAATAAGTACAATGGCTGAGGAATCATTCTATGGTAATTACATTTTGCGTGTGCGGGCCAATTCGCAGTCGAAAAAGCCACCAAATGGCAGACGGGCGATGTATGTACAGGCCAAACGACGAACTGCCGGCGGCGCTTGCCGGTGTTTTTTATTCAAGGTTGCCCGAGGCTTATTAGTGTGTCTGCACCCACACCCTTCCATTTCTGTGTGGCGGATTAACTAATATTGTACATATCTCTCGTTCTCAGGAGTTACTTTGACCGCCGAGAAGGACAGCGTGACGTGGGACATGGACGAGGATTACGGACGCGGCCAAAAGCTGGTGATCAAACAGATATTGCTGGGCGCCGAGGCCAAGGAGAATGAGTTTAACGTGGTTGAGGTGAGTCTCATGAGTGTGTACATAGTTACCAGATAAATTGAGTATGCGCGCGCCGGTGTCTGCTTCCTGCATGCCGCCGAAGTGTAGACCGGTTTCCCATTTTCACCCACCACCAAAGAAGGCATTTTTCGCATACCGCTGTTTTTGTTAAGGTTAGGGTCATTTTGTCTGTACATCTGCGTGATGCAAAGTATCTGGCTGAGAGGTAGATACGTACATATGCACATAGATACTTCTTCCATGCCCAACATTGGTTTATTTAAGGTAGCCACTGTAATCTCTTACTGAGCAGCGTTTGAAATTCAACAAGGCCTTTACTTAACAGGCAACAAAATGTATTATCTATTTAACTACATGGTTTCTCTGAATTATAGAAATTTATATTTCTCCATTATGGTGGGAAAAGTTTAATTTTTCCAATTAACGTAGTTCTACACAATTCTTGGACGTCAAGCCAAAAGAACACACTTATTGACTCAAGTCTACGGCTGTACACGAAGCGGCTTCTTTGCTCGTCATTGTTTGCATTAGGTCGGAAAAGCTTGATGAGAACTTAAACATACTACGCAGTTTTGTATCCATCCGGCAAATCACTCCGGCTGCCGGGATGCTCCAGTTCCAGCACAGCAGGTCACACTGCAGAAGGGAGAGATCTTCGCGCAGCGATTTGAGGTTCTATGACGGGGGATTGGGGCAGAGGTTACAAGTGACACGGAAGTGGGTGAGAGTAGGCTTACCAGCGCCACGGTCGTATCAATTGAGGCGATCTCGTGCCCCCTAATGACCACCAACGAGCAAGTGCCACTGTCGCCGTTTCTAACCGTCACGTGAGACATTATTGTCGTCTTCAAATACTCGGCTGCTGCGTAATCGACACTACCCTTGAGGTCGGCCATAGTCACTTCAATGCCGTTAAACTGTTGGTTAAAACAAAAGTAAAAAGCTAAAGAAATCTGAAAAGAAATGTAATATTGTGAGTCATAATATTGTTTACCTTTTGAACCTCCAAGCTACACTGTGGCTTCATGCTTTTGTAAAGAAGAAAGAGTGCATTAAATACGATGCCAACTACCATTCCGTACTCTAATGTCCAAAATACACAGCAAAGCACTGTGACCAGAAACGGCAGAATATCTCGCTCTGTAATGGTCAATAATTACTAAATGACTAAGTACCAGTTCGAAATCCTTACTCTTTGCTCGCCAAATCTCTCCGATTGTTTCGTATTCTACCATGAAGAACATGGCTGCTATTATAATGGCCGCCAACGTGGCCTTGGGAATGTAGGCGAAAGTAGATGTCAAAAAGGCGAGGGTCATGAGAACAAGAGTACCGGTCACAGCCCCGCCCAGTGGCGTCTTCACTCCACTGGCATTATTAATAGCTGTCCGCGTAAACGAGCCAGTGATAGGCATGGATGAGAAGAAGCTGCTGAGCACATTGCTTATGCCTAGGGCAATCATCTCCTGCGATGCATCCACTATCTTACCCTTCGCTGAAAGTGGAAAATGTGGGTTAGCCTGTTAAACTATTCGGTGTGTTAGTGACAAACTTACAGAAGGCCTTTGCCACAGCAATGCTCTCCAATATGGAAAGCAGGGGTATGGATACCAAGGCGGAACCTACGTTGGAGACCATACCTTCGAAGTTAATGACTTCTCCGGTGCCTGCGTCTTCTGTGTGAAAGGGTGGTGGGCGGAATGGAGGAAGGCCGGGTGTGATGCTTCCGCTGACGAGGAATGGCAAGTTACCGTCTTTCTTCAGTAGGTAGCACAGGAGAATTCCCACCAGCACTGCTACAGCATTGCGAGACAGCGAAGTATACTTCAAGACACTTTTAAAGCGAAAGGGGAGGTCTTTAAGTTGCTATTTAGCAAGTAGGAAGAAATTTTCAAGTTATAGAAAACGTGGAAACTGGTCTGTTGTTACCAACCCGCATAAGAAGTAAAAGGACTAGTGTGCAGCACCCCAGGATAGCGTCATTCCGCCGCGTTTCTGTTATATGACCAAAGAAGTGTATCCAGCAGTCGAGGAACCCATTAGCACTGCTGCTAATGCCAAATAGGCTGTTAACCTGGCCTGTGGCAATCGTAATGGCTGCAGCCATCGTAAACCCCGTCGTCACTGGCACCGAAATAAACCGCATAAGTACTCCCAGGTTAAGCAGGCCCATGATGGTGATAATGCAGCCGGACAGGAAGCACAGGAGTATCGCATACGCCGGATTACCGTTCACGTAGGGGCGCACCATTAACGCCATAATGGCTGTGGGTCCTGGTCAGAGCTTCAGGAATTAAAACTGTTCGTTTAAAGAGAGCTGATGAGCCGGACTCACCCACTGTGATGTCTTTGCAGGTTCCGAGCAGTATATAGACAAATCCACCCATAAACGCCGAGTAAAGCCCATAGGCAGGCGGCAGGTTTGCCACAGCCCCATAAGCTATAGCCTGTGGCACTGCTGTCAGACCCACGGTGAGACCCGCCACCAGATCCATGGGCAGGAAGTTCCACTGGTATTTCGGCAGCCAATCGGTGACGGGCAGGTATTTGTGAACGGCACGCATATTGCAGCAGTTTCGGGCCTTGGAGCCCACCGCTCCCCAAACATCTGGCAGTCGCTCCCGATAGAGATCATCTGGAGGCGGAGGCACAGAGATAGACATTTTAGTAGCTAACCCCCGGTGGGGTCTGTGAAATCTTGATATCTTCGTCAGTTAAGTGGGTTACTTGATTGAAAATTGTTTTTATGTATACATTTTTATAATCGCTGCACATGATCTGAAGTACCTTGATGGTTTTCTAAGGCTGAGCAGTCTTGTGACTTCTGGAAAAATACCTTAAGATGTCGACTAACTGATAGACAAGTACATCCAGGAGAAGCAAGAGGGTTCAGTTAGGGAGCTTTTGGGTTTGGTAAGCTGACATTAACATCTTAAATATTTTTGAGTCGCTTGTATTTCCTGGATCTGCGTTTTTCATATTAAGATAAAAGACTGACTGATGGACAAGTTCAATCTAAAACTAAAGCATTTAATTATCTTGCATTAATCTTCCATCAATATTATAGACACAATGACACACGTATCTCTATGATTTCCTTTTGTCCACATTTATGAATTATATGCTGAGTAATCAGTTTACTAATACTTATATAAAATCTTTTGTAGGAAAGCTTCCATATATCCTATTTTTGTATATATAAAAAACATGTTGATTTGATATGTAATTGTAATATAATTCTTTGAAATCTTTTTGCTGATTTCAAACCTATTAAATTGTAGCTGATATTTCTGGGGCTTTTTAAATATATTTCCACTTTGATGAGTTTCCTTGAATTCGCCCTGCTTTCACTTATGTTTCCACCTCAGGTAAAGCACTTACCCTCATTATCGCACATGGCCAGCTTTTACAAACACTTTAAAATCGACTAATGCAAGGAGTTTCGATTTTTATTACAACACGTTGCTGTGGATGATTAATTAGCGGCCACTTGTTAGATTCGCACTTATAGGAGCCAGGTTAGGCCTTAGAAGTGGCTGCAGTGTGCAAGGTTCCTCGGAGTAGGAACGAACCGATCAGCACCAGTGAGGGCAGACGAATGGACAAACGGCTGTCTGTCGACGGGGTAACTACCGCAAGACGCCGAATATGCGAATGCGTAGGCAGCAGAGACAGTTATCTACCAGACAGTTTGGGGAAGGTGTTCAGCTCGTCTGACAGAGATTAGAGGCAGAGACAAAGAGCTACGCTGCAGAGCGATAAAGTGGGCTGATGAACTTTGATATGTATTTTTAGCTAGATCAAAAATTCGTGTAATCTTCGTTTAACAACTATCTGTGAGCCAGTGGCCATTGGCGGGAATCTATCTAGGCCAATCTGACTTGTCCATTTATGGTACTCTTAAGCAAGTGATGGGCAAACTAAAGGACAATGATTGCTAAATTTTGGTAAAATTTGGATGAAACGTGACTCAAGTCCATAAACTCAACCGCCTCAATCTTGGCCCAATCAAATTCATTTATCTTCCAATTGCCATTAATTTCATCAGGTGAACACAGTGAAGGATTCGGTGCAAATTCCCATTGCTGTCCTAAAGGCCGGAGAGACGCGCGCCGTCAATCCTGACGTGGAGTTCTACGAGTCAAAGGTGACGTTTAAGCTGATCAAGGGTAGCGGACCTGTCTATATTCATGGCCACAACATCAAGGACGACGTGGAGGTTGTCGACATGGAGGAGGAGGATGAGGAGGACGACATCGGCGAGGATGAGGAGGACGAGCACCCAAAGAAGCGAGCCAAAATCGAAAACGCCGCTGACGGTAAAAATGCTAAAAATAACAAAAAGAAGTAATCCCCCAGCCGCCAATCATCTATCAAGGTTTAAGATAGGATGTGTAGTTTTTAAAGCAAAAACAGTTTTAGGCCCTATAATAATACACTACGAGATGCATACTGAGAATACAATCTAGTTCCTTTTGAACAGCTCCTTTTACACCTACATTAAAATCAAAGACAACGTTGTGTGCTCGGCTCGTGTTATCCCAAGCAAAGAGTCTGCGCCTCAGCCGGGGATTTTGCTCCCAGTTGAAAAACAGATTGAACGGTGACTGTGACGCACTAATCGAACACACAGATTTGTATATATATTTAAAAGAAATCGTAACTAAGCCGCACTAACTGTACGCGCCCATTCATATTTACTTTATGAAAATAAACTGTCGTCGGAAACCAAATGAAGGTATTTTTAAAAATTAGCTAACAATTTCGAATGGCGTTCGTAATTTTGGGGACTTACATTCTGTTCTTGGGCATAAAAATGCACTTTTAAATATGTTACTTTGATTACTGAATATAAGTGAAAGATATGTTTCCATTCGTTTACAGTTTTATTTATCAAATGAAAGTTTCACTCGTCAATTTAAATAAAAAATTTGGTAATGGTTGGGGCTATATCGTGATTGCAGATCTAAAAAGTTGATGAAACAATTTCGGGAATGCCTTCAAAGAATGCTACAAGGGGATGCTACCCAGAAATTGTTTTCTATAGGTGGCGGTGCTTAATTTGGAGACGGCATCACTTTGATGCGCTCGAAACAGTCCTTTTCCAAGGTTTCGCGGTGCTTGGGATCGGCGATCTGGATGAGTTCGTACATCCTTTGACGCACATTCTTTCCGAACAGCGAGGCGATGCCGTGTTCCGTGACAACATAGTGGACGTGGGCCCGAGAAGTGACCACGCCAGCGCCTGTTAAGGATTGAGAGTTTTCACCAAGGTTTGCTAGTAGAGCTAAAAGCTGTACATACCAAGCTTCAGTGTGGGGACGATTTTACTCTCGCCCTTATTGGTGGTCGAGGGCATAGCAATAATAGGAACACCCAGTCCATCGAGTCCCTCCGCGGCGCCACGGATAAAGTCCACCTGGCCGCCAAAGCCAGAGTAGAAGCGAGTGCCAATCGAGTCTGAGCAAACCTGTCCGGTCAGGTCCACTTCAATGCAGCTATTGATGGCCGTCATTCGGGGTTGTTGTTTTACGATGCTGGTGTTGTTTACGTAGTCGATGGCGTACATCTCTGAGGTGTAAAACAGGCAGTACAATTATTGTAGGCTCGTAAGGAACCCCTTAAAATTTAAATTAATTCGTAAATTAAATTAAACTTGGAAGATTTAAAAGTACTGCGATTTTGAGTAATTGTACATAGATATTTAAAATCGAAATGCCTACCGATGAAGGGATTATCGTTGACAAAGTCATACAGAGCCTGGTCACCGATTAGGAAGGATCCCACAATTCGACCTTGGTGCATCTTCTTCTTGCTGTTGGTGACGCAACCCTTCCTCACGAGCTCGACGACGCCGTTGGCAAACATCTCGGAGTGAATGCCCAGATCCTTGTGGTTGTGCAGGGCGGCGAGTACGGCATCGGGGATACTGCCGATACCCATCTGCAGTGTGGCACCATCCTTGACGAGATTCTCGGCGATCAGTTTACCAATTTTCTGCTCAACAGCAGAGATCTCGCCTGTGCCGTGTTGCGGCAGGTCGTCGGTCGTCTCGATGGCGAAGTCGAAATGCGACTTGTGGATAATGGCATCGCCGAACGTGCGCGGCATCTTGGGGTTAATTTGAGCTGAAAGCAGGAGATCAATAAGTTTCCAAATCGCTGTTTTATGCCCAAGTACGACCACTTACCCACAATAAGCTTCGAGTTAAGCAGAGCAGCTCGCACACAGTCAACACTGGTGCCTAGTGAGCAGTAGCCGTGGCGGTCAGGCGGCGAAACGTGGATGAAGGACACATCAGGCTTCACAATTTTCTTGTAGAAGAGCTGTGGGATCTCGTGCAGAAATATGGGCACGTTGTCGCCACGTCCCTCAGCTACGGCCTTTCGCACATTGGCGCCCATGAAGAACGAGTTGGAACGGAAAATGTCCTTGTACTCTGGCTTGGCGTACTCTCCTGGACCCTCCGTGTGCATGTGGCACACTGTCACATTATTAAGGTTGTTGCTCTTCCCGTGCTTGGCCATCGCATTCAGCAGCGCCACGGGCGTGGCAGCAGCGCCCTGAGCAAACACCGTGTCCCCTGGATTAGCGGTAAAAAAAACCACAAGTTATATGATTAGTCAATTTCCACCACACTCTGTTAATCTAGAGATCCTAAATTAATTCGGCCACATTTATGAAACGTTAATCTGCTGAACATGTTCCGTGTCCATCATTCTTGATAATAAGATTATTCCACACAGCCTAGACGTTTTACGAATCGGGGAAAACCCTTTGATGTCTGTTTAAGGTGGATTTGAAATGTATTTTAATTTATATAATATTCAAAGTGGTGTTAATGAGAATGTTTTCTATGTTTGTTTAACTTGAATAATATAAATATTTTTAAATTATGATAGGAAGACGACGATTTTATGTCGTAAAACTACAAATATTTTATATTTATTATTATCTTGACAACGTTTTTTCTACTCAAGATTTTTCTAAAAAGCACTTGCGGATGCATACGACTTGCAATTCTATTTTCAGAGCGCCTTCTAGAGACCGGTGTGTCTACGTGAGTACTTTTTTAAAAGATACCTCTAACCTATAATCCCATGGGTCCTTTAACAAAGAATAAAATCATACGATAGGTGAGTTTCTTATCAGAACGTCTGAGCCACGTCTGGCTTGACCGTTTGGCATTCGGAATGGCTAAATAAATTGAGATTCGCTTAGTTCGTGTGTCTACTGTACCTAATATTATCTGCAAGAAACGTGCCAAGCGAAAAACTTTTCCAAATCAAACTACGTCGCAGATCTGGCATGGCTCGTGTCGGCGATTTTGGCTAAAATTAGAGGGCCTGAATGCTGGGTGACGTTTGGGCAAACACATACATATACATACATAGAGATGTCGTTGCGATAGGCCACCACCCCCTTTGCCACCGCGACTCATGTTTATCAATTGGCACGGACTTGCTGATGAGAGGCCATAGAGGTGCTAAGAAATTATGATGTTCCCTATGCGTTGTGGGCGTGTCTAAATGTATTCCAATTGAAGGAGACTGTGCTTGTGATAATACTTTCACTAACGAATTGATCATTCAGTAATCAAGCACACACACCGGCTGATAAACACGTTGCATAACGCTGCCGCCATCTAATACATAGTATGTTATAGTATAAAGACCCTTATCAGCATGACAACTAAAGGCCGGTTGTCCGGACCTGTTTTTGAACGACGCATGTGTGGATGTTCTTGCCCCTAAGCTGAGCTTTGCATCGACGTTCTTGTTGTTATTGCTGGCCTGCTTCTGCTCCTGCTCGGGTACAAAGTACAACTTTCGACTGGAAAGTCGCAGATGTTCCTCCACATGCAGCCACAGCTGTTCTAAAAATATTTGATTAATATATGTACTAATTAATATATATGTGTTCTGTATGTAGTCATCAAAACACGATTAACTGCTATTCTAGGGTAGATATTCATTGTTTCGTACATGTATGGGTGGGTGGGGGACTTGGCTTTGATATTAGATAACAGAAAGGCAATCACATTTCTTAAGTCGACCATTACCATCATTGACCACCGGGCATCAAGGGTCATTAAATACAAACAAGGTATCTGACTAATCATCTTCAAAAATGTTATATATGTACATATGTATGTATATGTAGCCCCCAATAAACGCTGCTGAAATCACAAACATTGTTGTCAATATTAAGTGTAGCTGCCCTTCCCAGTGGGTTGTGCGTCGGTGGGAAGTAGTTTGAATTACGGGCGTCGAATTACACAAACACACACATGGACTTACACCCATATATTTGCCTGCCCGGTCTCTGGCCCCACAACCCCGTGCTCGCTTTGTGTTCTGGTTTCCTAAGCAGGCCCACTAAATGTTGCATAACCAAAGAGATTGCGAGCACAGTGCCCTCATCAATGAAAGTCGACTTCTGGCCTCCCAAGCCCCCTTTGGGGGACGACGCACTCACCAGATTTGATGCAGGCGACAGCCTCATCCGGGCTCACAATCGGCGGGTCGCGGGCAATGGGATGCGACAGCTCATTAACGTAGGTGAAGTAGTGGTTGTGGGCGGACGCATTGGTCGCCGCCGCCGTCGCATTGCTCAGGAGCTTGCTGAGCTGACCCACATGGCGCGCCAATTGCTTACTCATGATTTCAGGCTAGGCACACACGCACACTCGATGAACAGGATCCGAACAGTTACGCGGGACGCTGGGCGAGTTCTCACCAAGGGTATTTTTTCTGGATTGGATTGAGCTCCGTCTGCTGCGGCAACGCGTTGGCTAGTGGCGACCGGTCCCCAAAATCAATCGAAACAGAAAAGCTTTTGCGCAAAAGCTCCCTTTCCTGTGCCCCTGGATGATCCGACCTAGAGCTGCTGTGTTCTCCGGTTGATGTACTGGTTGATTTCAGCATCGGCTGTTTACCACGTTAGGATAAGGGTAGGTTCTTTTAAATGTTATTCAATTTTAAAAGGGCAAGTTCTCAAGCTTTTAACCAGGGCTGCGTGTGATTGGCAGTTTCGATAGACCGATAGGCCAGCTTTCAGTTGTCATCCATTAAAAATCTCGCTAAATTTTAAATTTTTGACATCAAATTGGCTATTTTAATTCTTTTTAAGAGTGATTATATCTAAAGCTTATCTTTTCTAAAATTACCCATCATATTATTAAATAAAAAATATGACCCCAATGGGTAGAGCATTTTCTTGGCGTTTATTCACTAAGATTATTCGTTTTGATTAATCAAAATTTCCTATACGTAAAAGCGTTTTTGACTAACGAATATAAAATAACAAATTACTTTAGTTCTGCGCGTTTATATTAAAAAGACCCCAAGCAATTATACAACGCAATTCAACTATTTACAGGCTTAAAACATATGTATAACCGTAGATTTATCAAAAGGGTGATCTGATCTATTTATTCATTTGCGTGCACAATGCTATGACTAGTTTATGCGATTTGCTGGCTTCTCTAACTCGAACTACATCATGACCATTTACTAAACGGTTTCGGCACAATCTGGGATACGAGTAGATATATTCCTTATATGTTGCTAGTAACCGTAACGGTTCTTCTGTTGTAAGGATTGCTTTGCCGTCGCTCGGGACTCGAACTCTTCCGATCTTGAAGGCTGGACGGAGCCTAAACAATATAAAGTGATTATCCAAGAACTAAAGAAGAGATTGCAATAATGCGCTTTAAATATTGGCGTAAGGCCGTGACTAGAGTATTGTGTTACTTAAACGTAGTTTTAGGAGTTGTGCTGCGCCCAAGGCGAGTATCTTTGGGCTTCTTTCTGGCTTTGATTAATTTCGGTTAGTTAGGTGATACAGAGTATTTGCTGAATGCTCGTTCGTTTACAGTGTTCAAGGCTACTGCTTTCTGTTATTACTTAAATAACATTAAAAGCTACGTTTTTGGGCTACTGACTGGTTCGACTGCGGATCCTTTACCTATTCGATAGCGTCATATTCAGACACAGCTCGTGGTCTCGGAGGTCGCCCCACCCACCGTTACCCTTCCGCAGCTTGGACTTTTTCATCAGACTGGGCACCGTTAGGGTAAGGGAGCGTGGGAAGAGCTGATGTGAGTTCCGGGCGATGCGCAGGACATGCTGCACCTTCGAAATGACCTGGTTGGACTCGCAGTTCTTGTTTTTATGGTGCACCCCACTGAAAAAGACATTGAATTAGTTGTAACACACGTACTACTACTGACAGCTCACCATTCTCCAATGTGAAAAACTCTAGGCCCCTTGACGATCATCGCGTGGAGTTTGCGCTGGAGACACTGCTGCGAAACGTGCTGCAACGACCAGTCCCAGTTGTAGTCGTCGTAGGTGCAAAAGTGGCGGGCACACTTCCGGATATTCGTCCAGGTGGTGCGGTTGAAGGCAAATCCCATGTTGTGCTTGCTGCTGACCCACGGCATTACCTCCACCTGCAGAGTGAAAACCTCAGTTAAAAACGCAGAATGGTAGGAATTGCAGTGGCAAAAAACTTCAACTGAATATATCAAAATAGAGGAGGAGTGGGTGTGACATGCAAATTTATTTCAATTTGATTTGCCAGATGTTCAAATTTCATTTGGGATGGACACTCCATTGTGCGCCCCTCCTTGGACTAGTTGGATTTAATGTGCCGTATAACAGGGCTCAGTACGCGCCATACCAAATACCTGGCGATAGTCACTGACGATGCTCTGCTTATCAATCTTCTGGGAGCGAATGCGGGCGTGCAACTGGCAGATCAGGTCAGAAAATAAGGCGGGGCGGAGATGTGGCATGCCATTTCACAGACACATATAGACAAGTACAATTAAACACACAGCAGTACACAAATTTACAACAGCAAAACAGGCAATGATGGAGAAAATATATAGAGTATCTTTTAGCACCTGAGGTGCCTTGCTTTAAACGATATATTCCCCATCAGAACCACCCAGAAGGGTTATAGGATATAGTTGGACGTGCAAAATTGCCAAAGCGTAAATGAATGAACTAGGTAATAACCAATGGAGACGAAGAAAACATCTACGGCAAACAAGAATAGTGCTGGGGACAGGCAGGCAGGTGCTTGGCAAAAAATGATCTGGAGCTGAGAACGCTAGCGGTGCGATGTTGCTACCTTCTGATAGACGGAATACAATGACGGCAGGACATGATAGTTCCATGTTTGTGCACCATTTTTGTTGCTGCTATGGCTACTTTGCTCATTGTTGGTGTCGGATATGGCGGCGGTGGCGGTGACAGTGTTGATGAGGTTGCCCCGTTTGATACTGGTATTATCTCTCTTTAGGTCACTGGCTTTCTGGTTGTCAGCGGTGTCGCCCACATAGACTTTGGCGGACTTGAGGGATGACGTTGATGATGTTTGCGCAGCAGGTGATGAGGAAGAATAGGAGGACGACACGGCTAATTGCACAGAGTTTCTATTATTGTTATTCCTATTGTATCCTAATAGACTGCTTGTCGAGATCAGCGAGGAAGCATAGGATTTCTTGTTAGTCTGCGTGCCAGAATTCGGAATAGAATAGATACAGATATGGTAAATTACAGTAGTACAATGATAAACTCATGTTTTGGTTGGTCTTCCATGACCGGATGTATAGCCACATACATCCCAAAAATGGATGGATCTGTACGGGTGATTGTGTACGGAAGGTATATGTATGGATGCGTGTGTTTAGCAACAGAAGCTTAAAGGATACATTCGATTGGTTAGCACTCTCCCTTTCTAGCATTGCAGGGGTAGCCATTCTGTGCCAGATCTTACCTTGCTGTGGTAGGTGTAGTAATTGAAGGTCTTGAGATACGTGCCCAGTGATAGCACGTTGCATTGCGGGCACAAGTCTTTGGTTCGTTGCTGCATCATGGCCAGTAGGTATAAGAAGTCTTCGGCCACGTAATGATCCTCCTCTAGGAATAGGACCAGGCCTGCACCAAAAAGTAGCTGATGGTATGATGACTATAATCCATTGGAAAGTCTGCCTACCTGTGTGAAAGCGCGTGACCTCCAGCTCATTAAACACACGGTTCGCTTTCCAGATCCAATGGTGTTTCGTCTGTGTGAACTTGGCTTCCCGGTAGTGGCCATAGAGATCGGGGTGCATAGCATTGTTGCAGTTGCTGAGCAGAGCTCTGTCGAAATTAGACCAGTTTTATATGATATCATTAGTTGCACTTGGAAAACTCACTGCTCCTTCTTAATGTTCCGCGGGCAATCGTTGGGATCCACTCCAGGAAACTCGTTCGCATGCGTTTGAATGGAGTATGGGTAGAAGATCTGCAGGACCTTGCAGAAATCTATCTGCTGCACTAGATCATTAATATCGTCGTCATAGTAGTCATGGGAGAACACCAACAACACCTTGGAGATGTCTTGCGCCTGCGCCAGGCTTACGATTAGATGGCGCAGGTAGGTAATTCTCGTGTGCACCTTTAGAATGGAACTGTTAAAGGGCGATCCTCTTTGGCGTGAGGCTACTTACCTGGACTACAATTATCACAGAATCGTTTTGCAGGGGCCCAAATGTGTCTTCGTTGAGCACGAGCTGCATATCGTTGTACCTCACGATCTGACGCTTGATCTCCGTAATATTCGGAGGGTGGTAGACGTCGAAGCTGAGTGTGGTGGCAGTTACGCCTCCAGGGCTGCTCGCATTAAGGAGCAAGGCTGAAAATGAACCAAGTGTATCAGAAATAATATTGAATATTTAGGCACTCCTATCCCGGTTGCAATTTTCTTTTAGCATTATTTACACGACCTACCTGCTCCCGCTCCCGAAGCGGTGTGATTGCGGGAGTGCGGTGTGAGATACTTGTGAAGAGTGGCGGGCACCATGGCCAGTATGGCGTCGTCCGAGTCGTTGGTGACCGCATCTCCCAGCACATTGTCCCGCGAGTCCACTAAAAAAATAGAAAGCGAGGGATGTAAATATTCTGCTTCGAAGCCAGAGCCCAGACCAGACCGGACCACTTACAGTAGTTAAAATTGTGATATTGTAGCAGCCCGAAGATGCAGAGGGCCAGCAGGAAGAGGCTGCGCATGTAAAAGTTGTTGCGCTTGCGCCCCATCGCTCCGGTATTAGGAAGTGGAATCAGAATGCGACCTGTTTAACATCAAACAGATTTAGCATGGCAAGCCCTGATACATATCCCCACGCTTCTTTGTATTTACCCCTTGTTTTCGACATGTCTGCGGTATCGGTCTCGCTTCGCTTCGACTGGAATAGTATCTGCTGTTTACTGAGACGTATTCATATAGCCATCTGGAATTGGATAGTGAATATTTCCCGATAAGTACTAACACTAGTCACTCTTAAAATAACATTTATAAAAACCAGATGATTATTAAGTTTGAACAAAGCACACACCCACTTGGCTATTCCATTTTATGTTTGGAACTACACAGATTATTTTATTATTATTGAAAATTTGTTAAAAAGAGAGCAGGGATGGGGTAAAAAGAGCGTAGAATCAAATGTTATAGATGTAAAAATTAGAATACCGTTGTATTCGTTATAATAAGCTTTGGAAGTTCTCCCATGTGTTCATCCGCACAATGGGATTTAAAACGGGAATGTTAATCAGAAAAGCAACGAGCACGCAAATTCAATTGTATGTCGGGCAGCCTCCATCGTCGCGATCTCGGAGCCATACTTGGCACTTAACTTTAATTAGCAATAGAAGCCCACTAGCCGGTTGAGGGAAAAGGGGCTGGAGAGGGTCTTGGAGGCCCTGACGGAACACATAGTCACAGCATTGAGCACGGCACGCAATCGGACAGCCTGTAAAGGGGGCGGCGCACTGTCCTCTGTCCGGCCACTAGCAGAGGCCTCTCCAATTGTCACAAGAGTAGATTCGGCTGGCGGCCGGCTGCAGCTTAACATAATATATTATCTTCCGAGGAATTGTAATCTCTGCGGCAGAAACAGGAAACACTAGATAGAAGATCTTGAAAGCATTTCCTCAAATGTGATTAAATATCCGCAGAAATAGTTTGTTAATTCCTACGTGAAGGTAAGAAGTTAAGTGGTCTATACTCTTAAATTTAAGGTTTAACTAACTTACAAGTGCAACTTTAAGTAACAAGTGTAACTTTAATTTGAAATCCATATCAAATGCATAAATGGTAAAAACTCTCTCCTGGAAAATACCACCATAGTGCCGCTTGTGCCAGGCAACGAATTAAAGTGCTTCCTGGAAACCTGACGGCGCTGTGAATGAATAAAATCAATGGAACTACGTTTATGAGTAATAATAACTTGTAATTGGGACATTTGCGATAGAACTTGACTTTGCATTTGTGTGTGTGGGATCCACCACTGCGTCCAAGGGGGAGGGGAGTCATGAGGTCGAACAGGTATTTTTGGTTTAGTTGTTACGAAATAAATGGAAGAAATAGTCATGCTAAAGCAAAGCCAAAACAAAAACGAAAGCTGAGCAAATGCGCCGTTTACTTTGCACTGTTTTTGCTTTTTACGACCTTTTGTCATCTTTTGCGGGCATGTTAATTGGGTGAGCACCTGGACTCACCTCTGGTTAATTTTCCGGCCAAGTCGGCTGAGCACCGAGCTGTTTCAGGGGACTCCAACACCATCATCATTATTTGCCGCCCGGATTGGCTGTTGTGGCTACCAATTACTGCGATCGATTTTTCAGACGCCCCCCGAAAACCAAGTTGCAGGGTAATGATTTGGTTTAGCTCTCGAGTAGGCGCCACAGCCCATCACGTTCTGCATGTTGAAAGTGTTACATATGTACCATGTCCTATTCCGAACAGATTCAGAAAGCTTTAGCTTAAAACTGTAACGTTTGCCTCTCTCTGACCAGGCGACGAATCGATGCACTTTCGGTACACACACAATACGGCCAGCTGCTGCGGCGGCAGCATCATTTCACATCACTTTGCACACATTCCACCTTCCGCTCGAGTTTCGTTTCCCCGCATTCGCTTTTTATGTTAATTTGTCTATTCACTTTTCGCTTTCGTTCGGCAACAACAAAACGCTTAACCGAGTATTTCAGGTTGTCTGAACCAGTATCAATAAACAAGTCCGGCAACTCGGCGAGTGGCTCGGCGTTGCCAGATTTGAGACACATCGGCTCGGCTGTAGCTATTTTAAATATGTATCGAGTGTCGATTAAAAATAGCTGAATATGCGATAAAAACGGCAGCACATCGAGTGGTATCGACCACCTTTATTTTTCCAGCATTCTCTCATTTTTAAACATTTTATTTTATCTTTACTTAAAAATGAGAAATGTAAAATGCTAATTTGTAGCACAACTGGGTAAGTATACAATAATAAATAATATTCATTATTCTGATTTCCAATTAATTCAAGAGTATGGAACCACTTTATTCCACGGTGTTTGGCCCGTGCGGCATTGGAGACCACACATTGGCGGAGATCTCCGGCCCTCCTAACAGTGGGAAAAGCTTGGTTCTTCAACAACTGATCGCGCATTGTGCTCTGCCCTACAGATTTGGAGGCCGGCAATGGAAGGTTTTTTTGATCAGCCTGAGCCACAAAATCACCCGGGAATCCTTGGGCAAGGTCGTACGCGCAGAGTTACAGGCATTTTCAAAAGGCGAAGGCGAACCGCCAGCCGAGGAGGAGCTGACCGAGATCGCAATGCAGTGCATCGGCCGGGTCAGCTTCATAAAGTGCTCTTCCACGGCGGATGTAAAGTATACGCTGTCCAATATCCCATTCGTGGAACTGGTCGCCATGGACACGCTCGGCGAGTTCTACTGGCTGGATGCAGCGGCCGGGAATCATAACGTTACCAAGTACAGGTACTACCGGCAATACCAGGGTTATCTGGACCGGATCTGTAAGACGGAAATGATGGTATGTGGCATGTACACTGTGGACTCCAGGTTTGTGAACTCCAGATACAATGAGGAAATCCCAGGAGCTAAAATAGATTACAAGCTTGAGTTAAGACCTCGGGGGCGCGTATTTATGAATAGAATGCCTCTGTCATTTAGAAATGGTATTATAGAAATAAGCCAGGAAGCTGACTGATGTAACTTTAACCCACGCGGGTGCGGTAAATACATAATTAAACACAACATTTTTAACTGAACTTTCTTTGGGATGCTCACGGCAGGCTGATAACTGATGATGATGCTGCAGCTCTCCTCGCCGGAATCCGTAGAGCTGGCCTGGTCGTGGGCATCTGTCTGGCGCTTCTTTACCAAGAGGAGAGTTGGCCCTCGATCTTCAGCAGCTCAAAGTCACCCTTGTCCTTGAAGTTAAAGGTGCCGCCAGGCATAGGAATAGTTCTGATTTGGACGCAAGGGAATAATTTAAAGGTTTTTCCTTGACTAAATTTGAATATTTGGATAGCTCAAATAGGGTCCCTCTTGTTTTCCAAAGCTATATTTCATTAAAAATAATATTTTAAATACATTTTGAACATTTCCACCGCCAAACTCCTTGCAGTTTGCTATTGAATAATTAAGAATCGATCTTTCTGCTCAAATGAATGGAACAACTAACAAGACATACAATTATAAATATTTTATAATTAAATGTTCTTGATACATTTTCCAAAACATTATTTTTAAGTTGAATGAAAAAGAACTATGTTTTCGGTTTGAAATATCTAATATAATTTAAATTATAAATAAAATTCTGAAAATTAAATGGCTAGGCTAGAATAAAGAGACACGTTTGTTGGGCTTGAGCTTGTCCGTTGCCCTGAAAAAAGAACGGTCGATCTCGGGCAAGGGACCGAGCCCATGTAGGGAGGTGTAGGCAGGCATGGCAGCACATTTGGAAAAGTAAGCCAAACGCTTGAAGCAAGCAGAATATAAAAGATAAAGAAGAGCCGTACCACTATTATAACCACTGGCCACGGCTTTGTTTTTCTGGTGGTGGTAGTGACGGTGCCTGAAAAGCAGCTACCAGCCTCCAGCTGCGTGTTGTCCAACATCAGTACAGCCGTTAGCCAACATCAGCGCAGCTTTCAGTTACCGGAAGCCCGTTTGTCAGCCACTAGCCGCTAGCAGACAAGCAGCCAGCCAATTGATAGGAATGGAATCCTACGAGTCCTTCCCGTCCGAGATTGGTGCAAGACGAAACCGCAAATAGAAAATCGGAATGGAAGGAGCAGGACGGTGTACATTTGCGTTCCTTGACCACCTCCATTTCCTCGTTGAGCTTCTGCCGGGCCTTGGCCAGCTCCTGCTGCGAGATGTCCTCCACCTTTCTTGGTGGGGAAAATCTAATGGGAGACATTTTGTACAGGCTACCGGCGGATGTCTACTTCCCGCTGCTCCATTCGCCGCGGTTTCCTGCCCACTTTGCCCGCAAGCTGCAGACTGCGCCGGCTGCTCTAGGCCTGGGTCACCGCCCGTCATTGGCATTGTCATTCTTCGCCAACGGCGCAGAACGCTGCTCTTTTCGGGATTCAGCGAGTGCATTTTTGTTTTTTTCGAATTCTGTTTTCTGTTCTCCTTCTCCCAGTGTTACCGTTGGGCTTCTCCATACAAAATCTCAATTCTCAGAAAACCAGCGTTGCCAGATAAAAATTTGGCTCAACCTCTGCTGTGTTTATCGATATACACTATATCTGGTATATTTTCAGTGATTTTTCGATTTTCCCAACTTGGTCACACTGTGTGCCGAAGTGCAAGCATTTATAAAAAATGTAATCAAATTTATATATTATATGCACAACAAGCTTCGATATTAACAATTCCATAGCGACAATTAGTCGAACGCGCCCGTTTTGCTTTGTGTGCGGTAAGATTAAGTCGAGTGAGTCTTTCAGTTGATTGGTAGGCCGCATGGTGCTTTCTTGGTGGGGAAAATCTAATGGGGAGACATTTTGTACAGGCTACAGGCGGATGTCTACTTCCCGCTGCTCCATTCGCCGCGGTTTCCTGCCCACTTTGCCCGCAAGCTGCAGGCTTTGCCTTTAATAAGTTTATGGTTTTTCCAGGTCGGATGTCTCTGGCTGGGTTGGCCAGGGCGGCGCCTACTTCGGCATCAAGCGCACCCTGCTCGATGGCCAAGGCCATGAAGGAGAAACGTTGCGCGGATGCTGTCAAGTTGCGTGGTCGCTCGTTTGAGCGCAATCTGGAGACATACAAGATGTTCATATGCTTGAAGCCGCCAAAGGAGTGCTTCGATGCCGACGGCAAGGGCCAAGGGCCACACGCCTGAGCAGCTGCGTCGCGAGGCTTCTGTGAATGTCCACTCCTGCTGCGTGGTCCCATGTGGGCCGGCCTGCTGGAAGTGGTGCCCAATGGCAGCTACTCCAAGATAGACCCACTGTCTCATTGCGGGCAATGTACGTGAGCTGGGATGGTGAGTCCAAAACTCAGCCTACGAGCAGGAGGGTATGTACATCACCGTCGCGGAGGAGTGTGATACCGATGCCGTCGCCTAAACAGGGTAAGTTCCCCCGCTTCCTGCCTCTACGTCTCCACCACGCTTAATAAAGTGTATAATATATTTAATCTATTGCAGTCAACATATCGTCGCCCACTTTGTGGTCAGCAACCAATTCCAGTACAGTCTCCGTCTTTCTTTTGCATTTGCCTCCAGCGCAGACCGCTGCGACTTCAGTTCCGCCGGCAAGCGGGAATGCTCCTCCACAGACGCCTCGCCGCATTTCCGCACAGCTTGCCAAAGAGATTAAATTGAAGTATCGTGCGCCTGTGGTGGGAATTTCCATTTTCGACCAGACAGGCTGCCCTGTAGATCAGTTGAACGCCGGAGAAATCGGAACACCTCCACATCGCCTTCTTATCGCTTCCGAAGAGCAATTTAAAGTCTTTTCATTACCGCAATTGAAGCCGATCAATAAGTATAAGCTAACCGCCCACGAGGGTGCTCGCATTCGATGCATCTGCTTCGGATCATTTAATTGCCCCATATCGCCGGAGTTGTTGCTAAGTCTTCACGCCAGCAGCTCCACCAAGTCCACCCGATCACATGGCGATGGAGATGGGCCTGCCAATATCAGCGGAAGGTCGGCTGTTGGGCGTAAAGAATTATTAATCGGATATTAATATTTTCAACCGAATGGACTTGAAATCTAAAAGGTTACTATATCCCATTTGATATATTTTTATTTCTCTTTCTCTAATTCTCTTAATCTCTATTCTTTACCCAACAGCAATACTAAGGAAACAAGCACTTGTTCGGTGGTAATAAAATCAATTATTACAAGCATATTACACAAAAAGACAACAAAGAGAGCGAAATAAGAACGACGATAACGACAGCACACGAAGAAAGTGCATTTTAATATTAAAATTATTAGTTTAACTACCAAAAAAATAATATGAGCTCAAAAAAATAGCAAGTGAAAAAGACCCGCCATTTAAACAGATATTTTAATCTTAAAAATATGGTATATTCTATATGAATTTTAAGGAAATTGTTTTGTAATCAATTCCTTTTGCCTTGGGCTTGACTATCTAAACATAAGAAATATATAAGTAAATTAAGTACAATTATTATACATATAACTATTGATGAATGGCCCGATATGTGGTGCACATTTAACCTTTTTCATTCAATGTGCCTTTAATTTAACTGTTATTTTCTTGATAAAGGGCGTTTATCATTTATTTGCAAGTACTGCCTTATCTAAGTTCACAGCAACAATCTCTTTCTATCTAAAGAAGGACTGCCAAACCCCAGCTCATTCCCATTCCCGTTAAACTTTAGGCGCTGATGCTTGGCCGCCCGTTTGGCCTTGCGCTCTTGCTCCTTCTTCACCTCCGGTTTAGACGGATCCAGCGGCTGCTGCTGCTTTGGCTAATCCCCGTGGAGGTAAAAGGAGGTGGAGGACGAGGCCGTAAAGTTGACATTGCCATTTTAAAACTTGGTGTTGATGACCGTCTGCTGACCGCTGGCAGAGGTCGTGGTAGTGGTTGTATTGGTATTGTTGGAGCTGCCGCTGGCCAGGAGCGAGAGTCGGGACTCGGTTTGCGACGTTGCGGCGGCGAAGGCTTCTCCACGGCCACCGGCAGCGACAGGAATTACTCGTGCCGCGACGACATGTTGTGACAGTCCTGGCAGGTGAGTATATTTTCAATTATGAAAGGCCGGTGCGAACCCCAAGTCGGGTGCAGCGCCAAAAAAAACATGCATTTTATTTTTACTTTTCCGAAAAACAATAACAATAAATAGTGTGACCGGTGAGGATGTGAAAAAATTCCAAAATATAGATATTTACACAGACTAATAATTTTAGTATTTTTGCATCGTGATATATCGAACATCGATATTTTAAAGAACTACCTTAATATTTCCTCGTAAGGCATACAATGCGACCTAACGTTAACGTTATTTACATTAATACCGTAAAGAAACACGTATGCAACATTTGACGTAGGGGAAAACATAGTTTGGCCGACAGAATATGCTGGATGAATTTTAAATAAGGCTATATTTTCAGCTATAAGCTAGTTTAAAATATGATAAAGCTATCTTATAATAAGCTAAACTGGCAACACTTTCAACTGACGATCTGGTTCTTTTGGTCGCTCGGACAGCAAAGTCTGGCAACGCTGTTTACTAGGTCACGGAAGGTCTGGCAACCCTATTTTCAGTTCACAGACGGTCTGGCAACGCTGTTTTCTAGTTCACGAGACGTCTGGCAACACTGTTTTCTAGTTCACGAGACGTCTGGCAACACGGGTTACTAGTTCATGGCAAGTCTGGCAACACGGTTCACTAGTTCACAGGAGGTCTGGCAACGCTGGATGCAGCATACCAGTGTTGCCAGACTTTTCGTTCCGAGCGACCAATAGTACCAGATCGTCAGCTAAATAAATCGCCAAAAAATACCAGTACTTAGTTGGCTATAAAATTATCGTGACTTGGTATTTTTCAAGTATGTTCTTCTGGTCACACTAAGCCTCGCCCTATATAAGACGGGCAGCTGCAGTGGCGAAGCCAGTTGGCTGTTGACCGGCGAGCGGTCAAGTACTCCGGGGGAGGAGTAGCTGGAACCTCCCCCGGATGGAACGACTGACGGTCAAGTACTCCGGGGGAGGAGTAGCTGGAATCCTCCCCCGGATGGAACGACGCGTCGTCGCGTCTGTGTCCGGGTCACCACCTCGGACTCTCAGCGCTTCCGCCGGCTCTGGAGGCCACCACGTGCTCCATGCGCCTCCGCTGGAACTGGAGGCCATCCCCGTGCTCCAGGCGTTCCAACCGGGACTGGAGGCGACCCCGTGATCCCACCGGCACTGGAGGTCACCCCGTGCTCCAAGCGCTCCCGGCGGCACTGGAGGCCACCCCGTGCTCCAGGCGTTCCCACCGGCACTGGAGGCCACCCCGTGCTCGCACCGGCACTGGAGGTCACCGCGTGCTCCGGGCGCTTCCGCCGGCACTGGAGGCTACCCCGTGCTCCAAGCACCTCCGCTGGAACTGGAGGCCACCCCGTGCTCCGGGCGTTCCCACCGGCACTGGGGGCCACGCCGTGTTCCAGGCGTTCCCACCGGCACTGGAGGCCACCCCGTGATCCCACCGGCACTGGAGGTCACCCCGTGCTCCGGGCGTTCCCATAGGCACTGGGGGTCACGCCGTGTTCCAGGCGTTCCAACCGGCACTGGAGGCCACCCCGTGCTCCCACCGGCACTGGAGGTCACCACGTGCTCCAGGCGTTCCAACCGGCACTGGAGGCTACCCCGTGCTCCGAGCGTTTTCGCCGGCACTGGAGGTCACCCCGTGCTCCAAGCGCTCGCGGCGGCACTGGAGGCCACCCCGTGCTCCGGGCGTTCCCACCGGCACTGGGGTGACCCCGTGCTCCGGGCGTTCCCATAGGCACTGGGGGTCACGCCGTGTTCCAGGCGTTCCAACCGGCACTGGAGGCCACCCCGTGCTCCCACCGGCACTGGAGGTCACCCCGTGCTCCGGGCGCTTCCGCCGGCACTGGAGGCTACCCCGTGCTCCAAGCGCCTCCGCTGGAACTGGAGGCCACCCCGTGCTCCGGGAGTTCCCACCGGCACTGGGGGGCCACGCCGTGTTCCAGGCGTTCCCACCGGCACTGGAGGCCACCCCGTGCTCCGAGCGCTTTTCCGGCACTGGAGGCCACACCGTGCTCCAGGCGTTCCAACCGGCACTGGAGGCCACCCCGTGATCCCACCGGCACTGGAGGTCACCACGTGCTCCAAGCGCTCCCGGCGGCACTGGAGGCCACCCCGTGCTCCCACCGGCACTGGAGGTCACCCAGTGCTCCAGGCGTTCCAACCGGCACTGGGGGCCACCCCGTGCTCCAAGCGCTTCCGCCGGCACTGGAGGCCACAGCGGGAGTCGGGCGGTTTTGAGCGTCCGTGTTAGCTTCTGGCGCCTTCGCTGGAACCGGTAGGTTCCGTTCGTCCGTGTAAGTATTTTTTTTATCCTGATATATTATCATCGATATTACTTAAGAACTACCTTTAAATTTAAAATTTAGCGGTTAAATGAATTTATAGACTGACCGATCTCGCAAATTTAATATTTAAATGGCGAAATAAGTATTGCCGGACTATTATTTCAATTTAAATTCGAAATTGGCGGTTAAAATAATTTATAGTATTTTTATCCCGATATATTATCAACGATATATTTGAAGAACTACCTTTAAATTTAAATTACAAATTTTGGCGGTTAAATTATTTTATTGAGTGTGACCGATCTGGCAACCTCAATATTTAAATGGCGACAATAGTATTGCCAGACTATTATTTCAATTTGAATTTAAAATTGGCGGTTAAAATAATTGTTAGTATTTCTGTACACTGATATATTATCATCGATATATTTGAAGAACTGCCTTAAAATTTAAATTAAAAATTTGGCGGTTAAATTAATTTATTGTATTTTTACATCTTGATATATTAATCATCGATATTTTTGAATAAGTACCTTTAAATTTAAATTAAAAATTTGGCGGTTAAATTAATTTTTTGAGTGTGACCGATCTGGCAACCTCAATATTTAAATGGCGACACCAGTATTTCTAGACTTTGGGTCCCGAGCGACCAATAGTACCAGATCGTCAGCTAAATGTATCGGCGAAAAATACCAGAAATTAGTTGTCTATAAAATATCGATACTTAGTAATTCTCAAATATTTTCTTTTGGTCACACTTAGCCTCGCCCTATATAAGACGAGCAGCTGCAGTGGCAAAGCCAGAAGGCTGTTGACCGGCGAGCGGTCAAGTACTCCGGGGGAGGAGTAGCTGGAACCTCCCCCGGATGGAACGACTGACGGTCAAGTACTCCGGGGGAGGAGTAGCTGGAACCTCCCCCGGATGGAACGACTGACGGTCAAGTACTCCGGGGGAGGAGTAGCTGGAATCCTCCCCCGGATGGAACGACTGGCGGTCTTAGTACTCCGGGGGAGGAGTAGCTGGAATCCTCCCCCGGGTGGAACGACTGGCGGTCTTAGTACTCCGGGGGAGGAGTAACTGGATTCCTCCCCCGGATGGAACGACTGGTCGTCACATCTGCGTCCCGGGCTCTCGCCGCCGCCGGCACTGGACGCCACCATGGACTCTCGGCGCCTCCACTGGTATTAGACGCCGCGCCGGGCTCTAGGCGCTTCCTCCGCCACTGGACGCCACCCCAGGATCTAGGCGCTTCCACCTGGACTGGATGCCACAGGGTGAGCTGTGCGTTCGTATGGGCGTCCGGCGCCTCCGCGGGAACCGGGAAGTTCCGTTCGTCCGTGTAAGCTTCGGGCGCCTCCACTGGAACCGGGCATCCGTGTGGACTCGAGGCGCCTTTTCGAATATCGGGCGGCAGTGTGCGCGCGTTTGGGCTCCGGGAGCCTTTACGAAATCGGGCGATAGTGTGCGCGTGTTTGGGCTCCGGGAGCCTTTACGGAAATCGGGCGATAGTGTGCGTGCGTGTTGGCTCCAAGAGCCTTTGCGGAAATCGGTCGGTAGTATGCGCGCGTGTGGGCTCCAAGAGCCTTTGCGGAAATCGGTCGGCAGATGCGCGCGTGTGGGCTCCAAGAGCCTTTACGGAAATCGGTCGGTAGTATGCGCGCGTGTGGGCTCCAAGAGCCTTTACGGAAATCGGTCGGCAGTATGCGCGCGTGTGGGCTAAAAGCTCAATTTCGAAAATCGGGCGGTAGTGTGCGCGCGTGTGGTCTCAGGACGCTTCCGCTGAAACTGGTCGTCTGTGTGGGCTCCAAGCCCCTTCACAGGATTTATCCCAGGTGTCATGCCCTGAAGAGGATTGTAAAGGATGTATATTGTGGAGCCAAGCACGCTTTCTTCTGGAGCACAGGTGAGTTTTTCCATAACTTTTTAATACACTTCCAATAATTTGTCTATAACCATCGGATATTCCGATGACAGTTTTTCCATTTTTTTTTATAAAATAAAGTTTTTTTGGTTTCTTTACAACTTTGATTCTACAAGTTATAGTCTACTATTATCGTACATCTAAACAACCTGTAGTAAAGGTAAAGAAAAGTTAACTATTCAATTTACATTAGTTTATTCGCCGGGTCGGCAGCTCCCGGATAGTGACTGTCCTTAGTCGTCGTTTTCCTCGTATAGCAGGCAGTGTATTGATGGCCACATTCCATCTACAGGCCCAGTTGTCAAACCTCTTCAGTTGTGTT